CTTTTTCCTCGATGAGATCTTCTCTCCTCTCCGAGTGATAGCATATTGACAACTTTTTATTTTAATTTTAAGCAGCACTTCAGAGATTATAATGGCAACACAATCCCACCTGTTTCTCCACTGGAGCTATACTTGGCAGCCCCGTAATGAGGAAGTCTGCAAATTCCCGATCGTTTGCTGTATTGACAGCCTGAGGGGTGGATGCTGCATGCAGCAGAGGGAAGCCTGCAAAACGAGGCAGTCCTGCACCCAACTTCAGCCTGTTGTCCCCCTAAATGAGCCCAGAGCCTCTTGTTGGTTGAGCTAATTTGGTGTTAATGAGGTCAGGAGCAGGCGCAGGTGGGTCTGGGGTGGTGATGGTAGCAAAAGGGGTCGGGGAGCAGCAGGCAAAAGGGCAGGAGGAAGAAGAAGAGAAGGCTTGGAGCTGTGGGGTAATTCCTCGTGGCCCAGGGCATCTCCTGGGGCTGGTGAGTCCCAGCAGGACACCTGAGGACACGTGAGCTTTGGAGGCTTTCTGCTGTGTCTTGGTTCCTGGATTCAGGACCAGGATCAGCTCCTGAGGGAGGTGTTGGCTCTTTTAAGGGTTGAGATCTGGTGGAGCTGAGGTGACAATTCTTGGCCATTCATCCCAGGAGCACAGCGGGTGTGTGGACTGTGCTTACAGTATGAATTGGAAGAGGTCGGAGGTGGGAGCTTACCCTGCTAGAGAAGAGACCAGAGAAATATTGTGGGGGGCTTTACATCTTCCTAGCTCAGAGGGACAGTTATGGATGGTGAAATCCCATGTCTGCTCAGCCAAGCCTTGGCTAAACCTTCATCTCCAAGCCACCAGAACAGAGATGTGTTTGCACACATTTGTGTTTCCGAGCTTGGCGTTACATCTTGGCGGCATGGAGAGCCTCTGAGGAAACCCAACAACGCTTAATAAAGTTAACGGGGAAGGTCAGCTGCACTCTGCTTGTCGTAGCAGTGTACAAACCTCCCTGTAGCATCTGCTCCCTGTTATTACTATAAAAATGTTGCTTCGTTAGATGTTGCTCGGGCCATGAATTAAGCAGGGATATGCAGTAAAACTGGAACCGTGCTGGGCTTGTCGGCATGCGCGTGCCGTGAGCCTGGCGGCTGGCACCCTGGGGAGCTGCATGGCTTAGGGGAATGGGAAAATAAAGGTTTTCTGCTTTTTTTGGTGCTGCTTGAAACCCAGCTGAGGATAGAAATGGGGTGAATTTGGGTGTCTGTGAACTGGCTGGTGCATTTAATAGGGTGAGTTGCTGTGTCTCGGCTGTCGAACCACGCATGCTGACAGCACCACCGGTCCCCCATCAGCTTTTTGGCCAAAGGCAGTGGGACTGAGTTGTTCAGGGCAATGAATGGCCGTCCTCCTCTTGGAGGAGATGATTCTTCAGGGCAAGAGGAGAAAAGCAGAGTTGGAGCACCTGCCTCTCGTACTGCTGTGGCTGCTCTCTGCCTAAGAGGAGTGGAAATGCTGCAGCCAAAGGTCAGCTCCCCGGGGCACATAAAGGCAGCCATGTGTGCCCGTGCCACGGGTCAGGGCTTCTGGAGTTTAAAGAGGTCACAGCTGGGGACTGCCTAAAACCCATCTGGACAAAGCTCTCGTGTTCCTGTGCCCCCGAGGGCTGGGGGATCCTGGAGGGGAGCGTGATGGATGTAGGAGAGGCGAGGGATGGATGCTTTGGTTCCCAGAGGCACCGTCGTGCCACCTTGCATGTCTTTGGCTACCAGCGATGCCTCTCTGCTGGTCCTGGCTATTGAATCACCAACTCAGAGTGTTTAATTTGAAATTTGGGCTTGATGGAAACTTCAAATAAGAGGTGCCTTGTTGCTTGAATCCTGAGTGACCGTAAGCCAACTGTTTCCAGTGCACATCCAAAGCAATAAGCTCTTCTGGCTTCTAGCCTCTGAGATCAGTGGGCTTTGTCCTAGATGTAAGGAAAACCTGGGCATAGCGACTAAAATAAGAATTATTACTCTAACAAGGAGTTTTATCCATCATGATGGGAATATCCCATGGGAAAAGATGTTGCCAGCCAGCTCCTCCTGAGAAAAGCTCAGCACCTCCGGTCCTTGCTGGCTCCATTTGAGTCTCAGCCCCTGTGAAATCCTCTGCAGCCCGAATCGAGCATTGCCAGCCCCGGTGCTCTCAGCTCCTTCTGAAATATTTCCCCCATAATTCGTGGCGAAGGCAGTCGAGATTGGAGACATTTATTATGACGGGGAAGAGAGAAGTGATTTTTGAGGCCAACAAAGTTCAAAGACTTTGCTGTAAGTTTTCAGGATTAAAGATTTACTTGATGCAGCTTCCCATTTTTAATAGACAGGAATAGATGAAAGGGAATTTATATAAAGATTTTCGTTCATACTTAATGATGCCACTATTAGATGAGCTTTGGCACTGCATCCCAAGACATGAAGTTTTAAAACCAACCTTTTTTAAACATTAAATGACCTTTTCCATCCTCTCGCTATAATACATAAAGATTAGCTTGGTCTCATTACCCAGTCTGTCCTGGGGACTGGTTTAATATGTGGTTAAAACTAACTAGTCTCCTAGAATTCAAGGAAACAAATTGTGTGGGGTTTCTGCAGATTTTGTGGGGTTTCTTCTGCAGGAAGATTGGAGACGGTGCTGCAGTTTGCTTGGTGATTGGTCCCCATGTGCCACCACCACCTCTATCATGGCATTTGGGCCGTCTGGTTTCATCCTGCTGTGTGCAGAGAAGAGGGTTGGAGCCCCAGGTGGGCTGCAAATCTCAGTTTCTGTCAGAACTGAACAGGCAATTTATGTATTTTTTACCAGCCATAGGGAGGGTTTCAAGATTTCCAAAAATAACAATGAGAAAAAAAAAAGAGCCATCATCCAGAATAGAGACGTAACATCCCTGTGCAAACATTTGTACTTAGCTGACCCGAGGAGATTATTAGAACCACTTCAGCTTCAAGTCTTTCATTTTTAAAATGTGTTTAACTATGTAGTGGTGGAAAAGCAAAGTGAACTTTGTTTGGAAAATGACAATTGACTTGGAAACGCTGTCCGGCTTAGTGACTGTTGAAGCCCAAAATTGCAGAATAATGAGTGTAGGGTGCTGACGCACGCTCCCCCCGCTGGTCTCTAATTCTGCTCCGTCAGCACCTGGGAGGCAGGAGGCATTTTGTGATGCTCATCTGACTAAGTGCAGTGCTCTACCCTTTCCTGGAAGCAGAGCCAAAGAGAAAAGTGCACAGACACCAAACGGCTTTGTGGATGAGAAATGGGGACGGTTCAGGACCTTCTGCTGAGATATGGGGATGGTTCAGGACCTTCTCTGCCTGCTGCTGCTTTCCTGGAGAAGGGGGGACCTGAGCAAGCTGCTTGGTTGGCCCCTTCCTCTCCTGGCTTCTTAGTAATTAAGAGCGGTCACCAGCCGCATCGACATCTGACAAAACTTGTGATCCGTGCTCCTGGCCTCGGAGGAAAAGCCCAACCTTTTTCCTTGCCTAATGAGATTGAGATTAACGGCCTGAGCCTGCAGATAACGCTGGTGTGTGCGTGCCTGCGGAGCAGGGAAGCTGGTGTCGCCTGGAGGACCGGCAACGTTCGCCAAGACATCTGTGCAGCTCTTCCAAGAAGTATTGCTGCATCTCTCCTCATCAGTCCTGAGTTCAGCCACGTTCCTATAAAACTTGGGAAGAGCAGGAAAAAGAGTTCCCAAGTGGGTATTGGTGGGATGCGAAGTAAATCGGGTTAAGGGGGGACCACCTCTGCCTCACTGGCGGGGTTGGTGCCCAGTTATCTTCCATGATGCTTATTTTCTGGTTCACAAATGGTGCAGAAAGGTGAATTTCGTGGGTGTCCCTTAAATTATATGGAATGCAGGACTGCTGGACACTTCTAGAGTCCAGGTACATGTCCGTCCCTGGGAAGCAGGCAGTTCTCCTTTTATGTATGGCTGTGCTACAATCCCACCCGCATTTTCTAACCAGCCGTGTGCTCCCAAGATTGAAAATGCAAAACTGGGTAAATAAAAAGGCAGAAAAGGGAGGAAAAACCAGCACAACGATGCGTTTCAGAGCTTTAAGAAGGCAGCCAGCTGCTGCAGTGAGCTCCACAGTTCCCTGCCACACAGCCCAGCAGAGCCCCACTGATCTGCACGTGCAGGACTTGCTCCAGCCCAGGCAGCAATTCTGAACGACGTGGCTCCCTCTGGAGTGACTTTAGAAAAGGAAGACAAGTGTCGGTGCCTTTCTGATATACCCCACAAAGCCCAGGCAACCTGGAGGAGACCCCACAGGCACTGGGGGGGCTGCAGAAGCTGCGGCAGCTCAATGAAAAGCTGTGATTAATGCTCGGCTCTGGCTGCTTGTTGCCTTCCGTCAAGAAAATAAAAATACTACCCCCTACAATCACCCTCTGCCTAACACAGATTTGAGTGGGGGGGCCCAGGAGCTGAGTTCAAGAGTCAAGTGCTTTCTGTTTGAAAAATATTTGTCCCTCCCCACCCACGGCTGCCCACGTGCTTCCCAAAATATTCCAGCTATCAGCAATGATGGGCTGCTCTCAGCACAGCACCAGCGCTTTTTTATGAACAAAACGGGGCTGTTTGGGGACGTTCTTTCATTATTGGTGTGTCGGGATGTGGGGCAGTGCCCTGGTCAGTGCTGCCGGGGGCGGCACAGCCAGGGGTCCCCTTGCGGGACCATCTGGAGTGCGCGGGTGCTGGCACCACCCGGAGCTGAGCAGCGTGGGCAGCCACAGCATGCCGGCAGGTAACGCGGCCGCTGCTGCGGAGACTTCACCGCCCCCGTGTCTGGCAAGGCCTGGAGGTGGGCGAAACGGTGCGAAAGGCCGGGCGCAGGAGGGAGGATGCGCTGGCAGGAGCAGCGACGCTGCTGCAGCGGCTGCTGGCACGGCGCTGGAGAGCCTGGGGGGCGCACGGCCGGGGGTTTGGGGTGTGTGAAGTCCTCCTGAGCCTAACCTCTGCCATCCCCTTTTGATCCCGCAGCTGCCATCCTGGATGACCCGATGGAGTGCAGCAGAGGGGAGCGGCTCTCCATCACCCTGGCCAAAAACCGCATCAACCGTGCGCCTGAGCGGGCGGGGAAGGCCAAGGTGGAGGTGGACATCTTCGAGCTGCTGCGGGACAGCGAGTACGAGACGGCAGAAACCAGTGAGTATCTCTCCGTGGGGCTGCTCCTCCCCTGCTCTTCTCTCTGCCACCTCTCTGGAGGCTCCTGGCACGCTGCACTCGCTGCAGAGCGTAAATTTATCATAGCTGAGGCTTTGACCCAGGTCCCACCGTGAGCGTTGCCACCGCTCAGCTCAGCAGCTCGGGACAAGTTATTTTCTTCACTCCGTGTGTCAGTAAACAGGAGCAGTGATACAGGAGGTGCTGCTCCGTTGTAAAGCCCTCGATGGTGCGCAAATAAGAGACTCTGGGCAAGTTCAGTGCAATTAAGTTATTTTTAACACCCCGCGGAAGGCTGTGTGTCAGCAAACATGATGGCTCTCTCAGAGCGTTAGATTGGCAGCGGATTTGTTTACACAAAGTGGAATTTTCAAGTGATGTTTGAAATCATGTGGATTGAAAAGAGCTATTTTTGAAAGAGCAGCACGCCTTCCATGTTACTTAAAATCCTCTAATGCAAACAGGTCTCTGGGATAGGTGTTCGTGTCGATGCCCAACGTGGTAACTGCACGCTGGTGGATTAAAAATCCCCGATGGTCAACATCCCACAGACCTCTTGGGAACCAGAGTGATAGAGGCCAAAAGGATCTGCAAGAGATTCTTGTTGTAAAAGGGAAAAATGCTTTGCGAGATGATAGCTTCTTTTTAGGATGTTTTCTGCAACAACCATTGAGTTCAGGGGAGGACTACGTTTTTTTTTTTTATTACAAGTTGTCTTGGAGAAGCTGGAGAAATCATTTAAATGAGGATTTTGGACTCATTCCCCCATGGTTCTCACTCCCAAGCCTGCGTAGCCTGCAGGGCATCCAAGGAAGGCACAGCAGGGTGCTGTGGGTCGGAGCAGGCTGCCTTTTCCTGTAGCTTTGGCCTTGGTGCTGTGCAGTCCCGAGCATCCCCATGCCTGGGAGCCCAGCAGGCAGGTGCAGCTCCCCAGGTAGCTGGCAGGATGGGCCCAGCAGCCTGGCATGGCCAGCAGGTAGCACCTTCCTTTCCTCAATTAGCATCGTCATTATTTATAGAAGCTCTCAGTTAATAAAGTGCACGTCAGCAAGTACCTGGGCGCCTATTTATAGCGCCATTCGCCCATCAGGCAGGCTAGATTAAGCTCGTCACGTGCAGCAGCGCAGGGGGTGTTTAAAACAAGCACTTCTCTGTCTTTTTGGATCCCTCTCTTCAGGGTTTTCGTGGTCTTCCCATCTGGTGAGGATTGTGCAAATCCAAGCACTCGGGCTGGGTCACCTGTAGGACGGAAAAGGGACGGGAATAGCCTGTGTGTTCCCGAGGCTGTGCCCAGCTTCTCCCAGAAAATACTCTCCGTCTCCCAGCGAGCCTCGTAGGAAATGAGAAAGTTGCCAGCTTGCTTTAGCCTGCTGTGCCTTTGAAGGAAACAGTTTTCAGATCCATTCATTTTCCTTTCTCCTCAACCCGTGCCGTGCAGCAGTGTTTCTGCAGGCTCGATCGCCAGGTGACCCCACAGCTGTGGGGAAGATCAGCAGCTTCTGGGTTTCTTTGTCGCTTGCAATGTTGCTCTGGGTTTTTTTTCTGTTGGGATGTTTTTCTAGCAGAAGAATACTCATTTGCCGAGGAGGAAGTGTTATGCGCAAAATTGTTGATTTCAGCAAATGTGGTGTTTGGGAGAACGTGGAAATGGGATAAGTGGGGAAGAGGCAATTTTCCATTTCAAATTTCTACCTCGGGGAGATTTTCTTTGTTTTCTTTACTTTGATTAAAGAACATAAGAAGTAGAAACTGGAGCAAAGCGACTTGATTTTGGTGAAGTGAGAGCTCACAGCATCCTGCAATATGTTATTTGCCTTTTCTTCAGAGGGAAAAACGTCTGGAAGCATTTCTTACAGGAGGAAAAATCTGGGTTCTGCATGATTCCGCCATTAATGTCACTGAAGTTATTCCTGATATATTCTGCTAGCAGAGGCAAATCAGATCCTGTAATTTAAATACCAAGCCTTTCACGGCTTTCAATTGTCTGACTTCAGTTTTAACACCGCACTGATATTTGTTATTGCACGTAATATTAATAAAAGCACTTTAGGTATTCTAACCTATGGCTGCAAAGCAGTTGGACGGCTGTTTAATAATACTGTTCTCAAATCTCATGCCCTTTGAGATCCCCTTTAAATATCACAGCACGCTCACCTGGCCGCCCTAGGAGTGCTGCTGCCACATCCCATCGCGGTGTTGTGTGTGCAGCTGGAGCTTCAGGAGGGGAAAGACTTCTTGCGACTTGGTTTCCAGCTTGGCATCGAGCTATTTTCCTTCCCTTTTCCTCCTGACTGACTCAGACGTCTTCCTGTCAGGGACCACAGAATCACAGTTCCCGTAGCAGGTAAAATCTGAGTCAATCTTAATCATATTCCTGCCTGATTTGCTGTTTCGGCTCTGTGTATGAATGAAGGCAAACACTGACTGTTCCCGTAAGCGACACTTGTAAAGCCCCGTGCTTGGAGATGAGTTTGCAGTGGAAGGCTGGGGATTGAGCTGTTCTGCCCTTCTGAGTAAAGCTTGTTTTCTCTTTGTGTTTGATGTTTCAGCTCCTTTTACAGAGATCCAAAACAGCTCGTTTAATCGTGTCTTTATCTAAAACACCTTATTCCTTTTGATGCCAAGGGAGGGACAGGTTTTCTACTTGTCACCCTGTCCCCTATCGTTTCATCCTTCTTTTCAGCATCCCTCTGTTGTTAATCCCAACATTTCAGGGCAGGCCAGCAGTCAGAGGGAGCAACTAGATGATTTTTAATTTCTATTTATTCACACCGCTGCTTCAGAGCCCATTCAGTGACATTGGTTTGGATGTGCTAAGAACTGTCCCATCGTTTTTGTGATCCTGTTGGATTTTGCATTTAAGGCAGCTGCAGCTGCTGGGGTGGTTGTGTTGCTGCTAGGAAGCACGAAGGGTGCTGCAGGGAGCACTCCGGGCACTCTCCATGCCGCTCTCTCTTTAATCACTTGGTGTTTCTTGCACAAGAAGCCCATCCTGACCACTCCCCGATGTTCAAGATCCCCTGATTTATTTTGCAATCATGGAAACGCTGAGGTAATTGCATCCCTTCCCTGCTCATTTATTTTCAATTAGAGGCAAGAGGCTTCTTCGCCTGCCACCTCCAACCCTCGCAGCAGGTATCTGTGTGCAGCACAGGAGGTGCTGTGCCCTGCACCGCAGGGGGATGCTCGCACCAGAGCACTGGCAGCTCTGCTTCCTGCAGGCAGGGATCACGTAAAGGTTTCCAAAATGCCCCGAGGTCTTGGGAGGGCACTGCCTGACCAAGTGGGTGTGTGCACATGTTTGTCTTTGAACCCCAAAAGGCACAACAATGAATGGGTAGTTCTTGCATTATACATGTCTGTGCATCCATGTGGATGGTTTTTGACGTTCACATGCATGTGAAGTCACCCTGGGGTCTGGTATTTGCTGGGATTTTGGGTTCTGGAGCACATGAAAATTGGATGCAACCTTGGGCAGAGGTATGTGAATTTGCATCGACCGACACCGTGTCCTGCACTGCACACAGCCTGCGTGGCACCTGTGTGCTGGGGTACAAATGGCCAGGAGTGGCAGGGGCTGTGCCAATGTCTGGGTTTTACCCTGTGCAGTTATCAGAGATGGGTTTTGGTACCGAGCTGACGTTCCTGAAAGCATCTGTCTGAATCCACCCTGCCCACGGTGGTAGCAGGGTTAAGACTTCTCCTCCTGCAGAGACCAACAGCACCAGGTAGTGTTGTGAAATGGGAAACGTGTTCGGATTACAGGAGAAGCAGCTCTCCTCGACATGGTCGTGGCCTTTGCCTCGGGCACCTCCGCTTTGTTTCCATTCACTTTCCTTAATTTCGCTGGATGTTACACCCTTGGAGAGCGAAGCAGGTTCTTTTTCTTCTGACAGCTGTTGCATCTCCGTTGCTATGGCTACTTAACCCACTTCTTGTTCTCCACGGGCGAGATGAGAAGAAAAGTGCTCGCCAAACTTTCTCCTGCGTGCTCAAAGCAATTCCCCCCCCAGGACTTTTGCCCCGCTGACCCTTGGCTGAGCAGGGCTCGGCAGCCCCTTCTTGTTGGTGCTGAGCAGCAGAGCACCCGAGGGGCCGCTGCTGTCTGCTGAGTGCCACTGAGACGGCGTGCGGGGTTTTCAAATGCCAGGGCTCTTACTTGAAAGGCTCTTCTTGAAGAGGTATAAGTGCCTGTAAATTTTTAAGCAGAGAGGAGAAGCGAGCGCTGGATTCCTTTGAAGATGCCACAGAAAAATATCGCTCGTGTTCTGCTTCAGACTGAGGCGGTGCAGGGCGAGAGCATGGAAGGGAGGAAAACCCCAGAGAAGATGTTTGTATATCATGGGCACTTTCTGCAAGAAGTCGGGACCTGGAAACGTATGGAGGTTTTTTCTAAGTAGTGCTTGGAGAGAGGTAAAACAAAAATCCCCAAAGGGACAAACTAAACCCTCAGCTTTTGGCTTCGTGATCCAGCCATGAAGATGCGGAGGATGGAAGGAACCACCTCGACTGTCTGATCGGGTCCTACTGAACACGGCACCCAGCCCTATATCCTGGTGGTTTAAAAAATAAAAGAGAACAAAAAGCAGCACAGTGTGTGCCCTCACCTCCTGTCCAGTCTTGATTTAAGGACCTGAAGCTGATAGAAGACCTGCTCTGCTCCGTGGTATGACAGTTCCGATGATGAATTCTCTTCGCTACAAAAAAAAAATGTTGAATATGTTGTGGTTTGAGTTTTTCTAGCTCCTCTTTCCAGCTGTTGAACACAGCTAATTTCTTACAGCCACCGATATGTAAACCAGAGACCTGAAGGGGCTGCGTGCTGGGACGCACCAGCCGTGCCGTACTGAGGAGGCAGCATCTTTAAAACCTCAGCTTTTTGATATCTTGGCTTGGTTTTACGCATGACAACGCTGTGAGATTGCTCCTGACAGTGCTGATAAGTAGTTGTGGTGCCTCGCTTCTCCCCCGTGGTATGGTGTTTCTTCAGAAATAAGTCACTCGGTGCTTATTGAGGAAACTCAGCCTTGTCTGCCTGTTGTTCCTGTGGCTTCTCCTACCCAGGGAGAAAGGATCCAAGCGTGGTGGTGCTGAGGCCATGGCTGGCAGCAAGCCTTCCTGAGCCCTGGGATCCAGGCATGAGGGGCTTTGCCTTCTGTTTGCAAGCAAAGTGCTCCAGAGCAGCGTTTTGGAGCGGCACGGCGGGTTGGGATTGCAGCGGGCAGGTGCCACCAGCTGGGGTAGTCCTTGGAGCGCCACTCGGCCGAAATGTGTGCTGCAAATTAAAAGGACAAAAGGTTGCAGTTTAGCCCGGGAAGCTTGAGGGAAGAGATTTAACTTCTTCATTTTGTCAGGGCCTTTTTAGTGTTTTGCTAACCTTGGTGGCACGGAGCCAGGAGATCAACTACTGCCAGAAAAAAAAAATAAAAAAATAAATCAAACCCGGTAATGTGATTCTTAGCATTGCCACTGAGCTCTGCAGAGGATGAGGGACCAAATTCAGACAAGTTTGTTTGCTGCTGGAGGATGCTTTGAAGCGAGGTCACTGCTGCGTTTAGTGGCCTCCATAAACTTCAGTTTACATCGTCCCTGGTGCGTAACCGTGGGGGCCAAGAAAAGCAAAATTTTAAGAGAGAAATTCTTGTTCTGAGTCGGGGATGGGGATGTGGGGCTTGGGGGGGACCTGGAAATGCTGGGGAGAGACGGAGAGGTGGATGCTACAGGCAGGGTGACTGCTTCAGGGGGATGTGGGGGGGCCTCAGAGGGATTTGGGGGACACAAATGGCACAGAGTGTAGTGTGTGTGTGCAGGAGGTGATGCTGTGCCAAGCAAGGTGAAGCAGGATGGGGTCTAATGCATGTTTCATCTCTCTGCTACCCACAGTGTGCCAGATCCTTCCTAAAGGGGTGGTAGGCGTCCTGGGACCTTCCTCCAGCCCAGCCTCCAGCTCTATCATCAGCAATATCTGCGGGGAGAAAGAGGTAAGTGGGCAAATCCCGTACTGGGGCCCCGCAGAGATCCTGCCCCCGCACCCCGTCCTGCACCCACCAGCTGCTGGGTGCTGCTGGGGCTCCCTGGGGGCGCAGCGTTTGGCCTCCCTTGCCCTTGTTTTCATCTCCATCACCTTTTCCTTCAGCTTCCTTCATGTGCAACACCGATGTCAGGGTCAGTGCTGATGGGTGCAGAGACCCCAGGTGCTCTGGAGGATGCAGATCCCAGTCCAAGGGATTTCGTGTGTGTTCCTCTGTGCACTTTTTGCACAGTCCCCTTGGAAAGCTGCACCCCTTTCCCTTTGCTGCTGCTCCACCAGTGCGAGCCCTATAAATCTGTGTCCAGGCTGTGTGCCTGATTTAGTGCTTTACAAGCCTTGAACTGTTTTACACTCATCTAGCTCTGGTCACGGGGAAGAAATTGAGTTCTCCTCTCCCAGTTCATCCCTTTAAAGCCAGATAACATCTCTCAGCCCTTTGGTGGGCTCTGCCTCCAAGCAAGGGGAGTGCCTGAACCTGAATGGAGCACTGGAAATAACTCGCATTCACAAAGGAGTGCTGTCCTTTGTTCCGTGAGAACTGCAAGTGTTGAGGAGATGGAGGAGGTCTGTTAGACCTAGTGCTCAGGGCTACAGCAGGATGGGTCTCCTGAGTGTATTTTGCAGTGTTTTCTGCAGTTAAACGCCCCAGACATGTGCTCCATCCCAGGCAAAGGCAACTCTGCAGTAAAAGATTTCAAATGTTTTTCCCCTAAAATTCCCATTGAAGTCCCTTTATTTTCCCAGAAATGGAAGGTGAGTGCTAGCACACTTCTGAGGTACTTGATTCTTGAGTGCGATCCCAGCTGCCCTCCCAGTGATTTATTTCACAGGAGCATCGCTTGGTGCCGTTGTGCTAAATGCAGTGCAGCAACCCGGCTGGAGACATCGCACTCACAGAGCTGCACAGGTGGAGGAGAGAGAAAATGTCCTGTAGTGCTGCTCGGGCACCGGCTGGAGGAGTGACGGGGCTGATGGAGCCTGTAGGAAACTTGGGGAAGGCACCTACATCTCCTGCGGTGCTTTGTCTTCCAAATATTCCCTCCCCTCCTGCCCAGGGAGGGGAGTTGCAGGGGCAGAGCCCTGGGGAAGGAGAAGGGGGCTCGGAGAATGAGCTGCAGCCGGGCTGCCATCAGCTCGGGGTGGTGGCTGCTGCAGGTCTCCGACTCAATCTGGTTCCCAAAAGGGATCAACAGGCTCGTGCAGGAGCTGCCCCGTCTGCTTTGCTTCCAGGAATTTGTCTTTTCTTGCGTTCTGCTCCTCCCCTGCTGACAGAGCTCGGGGTGAGGGCTGCAGTGTGAAATCGAGGCAGATAGCAGCTTCTTACTCCTCAACTTTCCTGTTGCTAACCAAACAGCTTACGCTGTCAGTAAAGCAGCCATCACAACCTACTAATGGCCTTTCCCAAGAGGGGAGAGATGGGAGGCACGGGATGATAGCTTCTGGAAGGGCTAATAATGGAAGAAAAGAGGACTTGACAGTCCTCTAATGAAGCAGAAGCAGATGTTTCCCTTTCTGGCCTCCATTGCTTCCAAATAATTCACTCAGCAAAAGGGAAATGATGTTACTGGCCCCCACTTGGTGCCCCCGTGGTGCAGGGTGGCAGCGGAGCTGCTCGCAGGGAGCCCAGGGGCTGTCCCACAGCGCTGTGACATCCCCGTTCCCCTGCTCCCAGCTCTCTGGGAAGCAGCATCCCTCTCCCTCCTCCTGCTCTGCTTGATTAACGACAAGCACAGCGTTAGCAGGACTCGTGGTTCGAGCCCTGTTGGAGCTTACCCGCTGCACAGCCACCTGTTACCCCTCTGCTGATCAAAAAAACCCCAAAGCTTCTGGCTGCTGCATCTGTTCCTCTCTCTCGCGAGCCTCAGCGGTGCAGGGTCATCGTGTTCCTCCCGTCATCTCTCCTAATTACCTGGGCTGCAGGCAGAGGTGGCCAGGCAGTGCTTCAGCCAGGCAGCACAGCCCAGCACGGGCTGGGCACCTGCCTGCGAAGCAGCCTCCGCGTTCACCCAGGCAGCAAGCCCGAAACGAAGTGCGGCCCCGGCTGCAATTAGTACCCGATCTCATTAGGCTGAAGTCATCCGGAATGGTTTCCTGTGCTGTAATCACCAACCCCGTTGCCTTTCTCTGAGTGGCTCAGCAAGACTTTTCCTGATCCACTCCTTCCCGTGGCTGCGATAATTATTTTCCTCTGCTCCTGCACAGACCCCACCCTCCTCTCCCTACTCCAGCGATGCTTCTGCGGTTTTATTGGGATATTTCGCTTTCTGCATGCTGTGCGTTTCGCACCGAAGGTCCTTTATGGTAGATTTACTTGTTTTGATTCCTTGTTTCCCTCTCTAATTATATCCCCTTTCCCCTCCTCCCCACTTAGGTTCCTCACTTCAGAGTGGCGCCGGAGGAGTTCCTGAAGCTGCAGCTCCAGCGCTTCACCACGCTCAACCTCCACCCCAGCAACACCGACATCAGCGTGGCCGTGGCAGGAATCCTGAATTTCTTTAACTGCACCACCGCCTGCCTCATCTGCGCCAAAGCTGAATGTAAGTCAGTGCCAGGCGGGGTTAGCAGCCCCCCTGCTCCTGGCTGCCCTTTATTTTTTTTTTTTTTCCCGTCTCCCTTTGCATGCTCGGTGCCTGTTGGAGGATGACCGGGGTGGCTGGAGGGCTGTGCTGCCTGGCTGCTGTGCAAGGTTTTGTAGCAGGGGTTCGTCGGGCAGAGCAGCCTGAAACAAGGCAGACCCCCTCCAGGGCACGTTTTCCACCCTGGTGCCCCGTGGAGGTGTTTGCTGGAGGAGGAAAGGGCATGGGGAAGACTTGCCCGCCTTCTGTTGGACTATCTGTAGTGTTTTGCTTGCACAGATGGGTTTTTGGAGGGGGGAAAAAAAAAGTCTTAAGCTTGTTCCTGGAGATTATTCTAGGCGATTTTTCACTTTTTTTGAAATATCTCTCCCCAAACCCACGTGCAGTTTGTGGCCTAAAAGCAGGACTTGATTAATAGCCTCTACACCGCACACCCTCCTGGGCTCGGTAGCCATACATCTGCTGGTAATTGTGCATCTGGATGCTGGAGTGTTCACCTCAGCGAGCCCGGATTCATCTCTGCATAACTCTCCTAGCGTGGCAGGAGCAGGCTCTGCATCCCAGAGCTTCGAGCAAAGCATGTCCTGGGCCTGGAAGGTCAGTGTGTGGCCAAGTGGCTGCTACGGAGTAGCCCAGCCCATTTTGCTTTTAATTTCAGGGAGCCAGATTCATTAGCACTAGAGTTTAACTTGCAAACCAACCTAGAAAGGGACTTTGAGGGGGTGCATGGATCCAGCGAGAGCCCTGCAGTGCTGGCAAGAGCTTAGCAGTCTCTGCTGGTGGGGCTGAGTATCGAGGAGAGGCAGCATCCTTCCTAAATTGGGACAGGCAGACTTCACACCACCGGCTGGGCTAGTGGCACACTGTTGTTGCAGACTCCTGCACAAGGACAGGAGTAAGACAGTGTTTGCCTTTTCTTTTTGCTTTATGCACTGAGGAGATGACATCCTCAGCATGTGTAATCATTAAATTGCTTTTTGGTAGGCATGCTCAGGTTTTACCCCAGCCGAGGACCTGACCCAAATCCCACAATTAAAATAATTCAAATAGTCTTCTGCGTTACATTTAGCGCTGGAATTTTTCATTGTGTAACCCTAACCTTCAGAAAAAAACAGGGAAGAAAAGAAAAAAGGAAGGAAAAAAGAGGGAAGAAAAAATAATTGGGTGTCCCGACCTGCCGTGCAGTGTGCTCTCAGTCCTGCCCTTGCTGCTGCCAGGCACAGAGTGCACGCACACCAGCTCATAGCCCTTTTCCCCAGCTACCTGAAAAAAAAGGGAAAAAAAAAAAAAAAAAACAAAAACTCACAGGTGTCTCCACTTGAATGCAGCCTGGTGGTAGTGTGGCTCTTCATTTAACTGGATCAGAACCTCAGGAGCCAGATACTGGCATCAGGTTATCACCCTTTTAATTGAATCAGCCCCGTTTATTTTCCTCTGGTGTTCCTGGGTAAATGCAGGATGAGCTGTGCAGCCCAGAATCCAGCTTCGTGTAGGAGCACAAGCCCTCGTTTTCCCCTAGGACAAGCAGTGCTCCTAGGCACAGTCCTTAGACAACTGACTCGAGGCACTCAGGGCTTTGGGAAGGTTCCCCGGAGGCAAATAAGGGAGTATATGAGCTGTCTGCTCATCAGTGAGAGGATCTTGTTTTGAAGGATGTTATTATTTAGCTCCCTGGAGGGAAAGTCGTCGCTGTTTTGGTTAAAGTACAAGGCTGTGTGATGGGACTCCTGGGTCCTATCCCGTCGTGCTCGTACTGGCACTGGAAGAAGTCGCATCCTTCCTCTGAGGACTGATTGTTTCTGCTGGCAGAAGCAGAAAATGACCCTCAAAGTCGATGGAATTAGGCCAGCGTAAGGGATGTGGAATTGGTAGGGAGCTTGTGGATTGTCCTGACCTGGAAGGCTTTGTGTGAATCTACAAAATCCCTGTCCTGAAAAGTCAACCGCAGAGCAGCGCCGGGGTGGATGCCATCGTAAGAGCTACTCTGCAAACTGTGACCACCAAGGGGAGGGAATAACAGCCAGGATTTAGGAACTGACCATCGGGGTCAAGGATTGCACCAGTAGGAACCCCACAAGCAGCAGAAGCACCCTGGAGGAGCAGCAGAGAGCTTAGAGGTGGCTCGATCTTTCCCCTCCAGTCTTCCCCCCCTGTTTTGTGAGTTTGTGAGGATCAAGAAGAGATGTGATCGAGAGGAGCCTTGGCTGCTGCTGAGACCCTCGCTGAGGTGTTAGCACGCTGCTTTGTTACCTTGGGGAGGTGCTGGGAGCCCGTGAAAGCAGCGCTCTGCTGCTAACCACGTTGGGTCGGGTGGCTCCGTGTCCCCTGGGCTCCTGGTGAGGATGGGGAAGGTGAGGAGCAAGGCTCTGACCCAAGCCTGGCCCCTCCGTTGGCTGGTCCTGGCGCCTGCTCATGGTTCTGCTCCTTGCATTTCCTTCAGCTCAGCTTTTCTCCTTCCTTTTGAGCCACGCTAGCTGTCTGTGCCTTGCTAATGATTAAATCCTGTGGCCTCCGGTCAATCAAAGTTGACAGAGGAGGTTATTTCCCGAGGAAAACCAGCAGCTGGCTGGAAGAGACAGATTCTATCAAATATTCTTCCTCCGCTACGAAAAGCTGCAGCAGGAGCTTTGACGTCTTGTTAGACATCAAAGCAGCCATGCTGGAAGGAGCCCTTGCAGTGACCTCTCTGCAGGGAGAAACTTCAGCCGGCCGTGCCGGAGGCGAGAAGGCAGAGGCTGGGATAAAGCCGGGGGGGTTGCAGGCCTCCCTGCTGCAGATACTCACGTGGAGGGGCTCCATCCATCCTTCCCTGGTCCTTGCTGCCCCACAAAGGAGCCTGGGCTGCAGCCACCTCTCCTTTGTCACGCGGAGCTGTGGGGCCGCTTCCCTTCAGGAGTGACTGTGGGGCAGGGTAGAGCAGCTTTTGGAACCAAGCCCAAACCATTTATTTAGACATATATATGTCTATTTATTTATTTTCTCCTCTCCCTTTTTACTTGCAGGCCTTTTAAACCTCGAGAAGTTGCTTCGCCAGTTCCTCATCTCCAAGGACACGCTCTCGGTCCGAATGCTGGACGACAGCCGGGACCCTACCCCTCTGCTGAAAGAGATCAGGGACGACAAAACAGCCACCATCATCGTGCACGCCAACGCCTCCATGTCCCACACCATCCTGCAGAAGGTAGGTGCCGACCAAGCACCACGGCATCAGTGCTGCTGCTTCCAGCCAGCCAGAGCCCGCGTGCGATGCACGAGCGTGCACGTGCAGGTGTTACTGATAATAACATCTAAAAAATCCATCGGTGATGCTGGAAATGCTCTCTGCCGAGAGAGGAATCGTCCCTGATGGAGTTTCTGGGGGAAATAATTTCCTCGTGCTTTTCAGGACCGCAGAAGCAAAGGTTTAATTGCTCGGAGCTGGTGTGTTTGCTCTCTAGAAGCGGCGCCTGCCCGTGGCTCCTGGTGCCATCAAACAGCCCCGGAGGGCTGCTGAGCACTGTGAAATTAGTCAGTCAGTCCAATCCGTTTCCTTTTTTTTTTTTTTCTCCAAACACATTTCTAACTTTTTGCTTCCTCTCTGATTGTCTTATTAACCAAGATTTTATTTTAATCGTGTTTATTTTTAAATGGTCTCTTGCTGCAATTTTTAGCATTTGTTTTGATAGCCTACTTCAAAATTGAGCAGTGGCTCCAGATGGAGCCCGAAGTTGTGTGTAGTTCCCCACATCCTGGAAGGAACAAGAAGTACTTTTTTTGAATCAGGGCCGAATACAAGCAACGGTGTCCCCCTTCCCTTTGGCTGCTGTTGCAGGCATTACCCACGGTGTCCTCTTCATGTAATCAGGGCGCTTCAGCACCATCTCAGATTTATCCCTGATGACAGCCAGCTGAAAAAAATTAGCGCGGTTTCATTATTCCTACCCTAACAGAAGATTTTTATTCAGCTTCTTGCAATTTTGCATTTCTAAATACTCACTTTGGGGTATCCTGGGGGCACCTCCCTTCTTTTTTTTTTTTTTTTTTTTTTAATTTTGGATTTTTTTAGCCCTGGTCCCCATGTCAGGAGCTGTAGTGACTTCCCACAGGCACACGGCAGCGTTTGGGCACCTGCAGCCTCCCTTCTCCTCCCGAGCATCCTCCTGCCACCACTGATGGAGACTTCAGAGAGTGCCACGATTTTTCAGCAGTTCAGTAAAACCCGGTGTAATCTTCCCAGCCAGAGGATTGGAGGAGTGAGAGGTTGTAAATAATGAGCTTGTGGTGCGGCGTTCTCGCACCTGGGGAGGCTGGGGAGTGTTTTTTTTCACGGAGCTGCAGCCGGAGCAGGGGTGAGGAGCTGCGCCCTGCCCAAAGGTGACCGAAAGCAGGAGAAACGTGCCAGTGTTTTGAAAGCACCGTGTGTCGGAGCTGCCTCGGCACAGCCGGCCTGCCTTTGGACGACGAGGGAAATGGCAATTTCTCATCTCACCCTCCACATATGGTCTGGAGACACATGGTTGCTTCCTCGATTACCAGCCCGGCCCGGCCGCCCACCTGGCCGCGGGCACGGCGAGCGGCTGGGAGCGCTGCTGCGGAGCCGCTCCGTGGCTGCCTTTGATTTTCTGCCCTTGAAATCAAACAGGCTGACTTCAAAGTAGGTCACAGAGCGCTGACATTATCGCTGTCCCCAGCAAGGGAGAAGGGAGGGACATGGGTGCTACGATTTATTGTGCAGGAGGCTCAAGACGAGGCGGTTTTTGCAAAGCCGTGGGGTCGCGGTGCTCTTCGGGTCAAATGATTTTTTGCTGTGGCCATTTTGGCACCTGTTTGAAGGACACAGGGTGCTGGTGTGCGACTGACGGGCTGGGCACAGCCACACCAAAGCCACCATCGGTCCCTCCCTGCCTCCATCGCCTCCGGGTGGTCTGGGGCGATGGGCAAACCTCCTCGCCAAGGTCCGGCAGCTGATTTGAGACCAGCTGTGCTTGGCAGCGAGACACAGGCTGTCGGGAGGATTTGCAGATTAATCCTGAGCATCTGTTTCAACAACCAACTCCTGGTCTAATGAGAATGTTGAATTTTGGAGAATAACTTCAATGATCTGGTCTGTGGTCTCCAGAAGAGATCATCCCACAGACAAATCCACGTCCTCCCTGCATCCCCATGCGCTCTCACCCTCTTCTTTTCTGCTCCCGAGGCCATCACAACCCTTGTTAAATTCTGGAGAGCGGTTGGAGTTGCTGGGTTTCATTCACGTTAATTAATTTTCGGGACTGAGGATCAAATCTGGCAGATGTATGTGGGGAAGGCACCGCTGGGATGGCTGTCCTTTCTCTGTCGTTCCACGGGAGCTTTTCCTGCCTTGCTCACCGCATCCTGGTGCTTGTAGCAAAAGGAGATGAGCACTGAGCCCTTTCAGCTGCTGCGTGCCCTCGTTATGTTTGAAAATTACATTAAAAAATTTCCCTCGTTAAGTCGATAGTTGAAGAGGAGAGAAGTAGTACCAATTAAGCAAACCTCACCTAACCTCTCTTTCCTCAAAACACAGCAAAACCAAGGAACATCATCCAGGGGCTCTGGAGGCTTCAGGATCCCATTCAGGGGGTTGGCACGGGTTGCTGGGAGGGGGACAAAAGCTTTTGCTCCCAGGGGTTTCCTCCTAGCAGGGTGTTTTTGTGGTGTGGACCCAAAACCACAGGGTCTGGAGCTACAAACGGGTGCTTTCTTCATGCCAGACACCCCGTGCGGGTGCAGAGAGGAGACCTCAAGGTAGGTTTGGTGCTGCTGGACTTAATTCCCCATTGTGCTGCCGTGTCCCAGCCGTCCCGACACAGGGAAGCAGCAGGGATAAGGATGGGAAAGGAAACGTGGCCCCGTGTCCGTGCTGGAGCTGAGATGGAAGATTGCCAGGCTCAGGTCTAATCTCTTTTCCTCTCCTTCGCAGGCAGCCGAGCTGGGAATGGCGTCTGCCTACTACACGTACATCTTCACTAATCTGGTAAGACGTTTTTCACAGCTTTTCTTGGATGTGCGTGTCGAGCCATGTTAATGGGAGCTGATCTCCCCGACCCCGGGGAGCACGGGGAAGAGCTGCCTACGTGCAGGGCGGCGGGGGCAGGAGCTGGGGGGGGTCCCCACACAAACCCCATTAGCTAAAGGAAGGCATGGGGGGGGTGAGAGCACTGCTCCGTGCCGTGCAGCAGGGTTTGTGGGTGCAAAAAGGGGTTTGGAGAGATGCGATGAGATTGGGGGTCCACCAGGGGATGGGTGGCTCCTGGGTGGTTTGGAAGGGGCACGCTGGAGGTGTGAGCGCAGGATCCTGCTCCCTGCTCTGGGAGAAGAGCAGGATGGAGGAGGGATGGTGCTGTAAATGTGGAGAGGCAGGGTGGGCATGACTTCAGCACAGCCCCTGGTGACTCGGCTTTATAGCTGCTAATAACGCTAATTGGGGGGATTGTGTGGCCAAATCCCTGAGCGCCGGGCTTAGGAGGCAGCAGGGGGAAACCCAAAATAACCATCAGAGAAACTTCTGGTGCTGCAGCAGGCTCTCCAACGGGCTGCCAAGTGGTGGGGGGAGCGCTGCACACGGGGAGAGGGGGACCTGCCCGGGGCTGCTGGTGGGGGCTGCTGGAAACCGGAGCGCGCGGGACGGGCTGGATGATGAAGTGGCGGTGCCTTCCAGCCCCCGGTGATACTCATAGTCTCTAATTTCTATTAATATTTATGCCAGGGTGTGCTTGTGCCAGGAAAGCCGAGAGCTGAATCACGCTTTGTGTTTGGGTGGGAGACAGACGGGAGCGGATGGAGCCAAACGTGTGGGAAGGGGAGCTCGAGGGAAGGGGAGGGGAAAGGAGGGGAAGGAAGGGGGTGAAAGCCAAGGTAGCAATTGGGGTGGGATGGGGAAAGGTGTCAGAAAAGGCAAAAATACAAAAGAAGGGAAAATCCACGTTTCCTACCTGGGCTAACAGCATTTTGGTCCTGCTCAGTCCTTAGTTCCTGACCTTGCTCAATACCAGCCCCACAAGGAAAAGCTCTGCTGCTCTGACTTATCCTCATGTAAACGCTCAGCACTGGCCAGGGAGGGATGGACCTGGGGCACAGCTAAGCCCCGGGACCTGAAGATCATTTATTTTAAGGCAGCAGCTTCTCCTCTGCGGTTTCTCACCCCTGTGCCACCCAGTGGAGCTGGTAAGGAGCAGAGTCTCCAGCCCATGTAACCCCTGCCCATCTCACACTGCAGCCTGGACACATACAGCATTGCTGGAAAAGATGCTAAATTTTGGTTAGCCTCAGCCACAGTGGGGCCTTAATCCATAATTTGGGTTTGTCAGTGCTACTGTAGTAGACATAATCAGAGATCTCCACTTGCACATCGCCAGCACAATGCAGTCTGTATTCATGGATGGTGCTTGGACAACAAAAGTAACTACAGAAATTAAGCTCCTCATGGCTTAATTAAGCTCATTGCCACACTAGTTTTAAGCATGGGTGTGATTAAGCATTTTCTTGGGGTCGAGGGGTGATGTTTGTCTCTGAAACCCATTCATCCAGTGTAACGAGGATACGAGGCAGGTGAGTCAGAAACGAATTGCGTTGCCATTTGCTCCCGCAGGATATTGTTGTTTCCCCTGTTGTATTTCACCACTTTATCCAAAAGACCAGCCCAGAGCAGAGCGAACTGAAATTTTGGCAGGGCCTACCGAAGAAGAAAGGTGACATCGGGCAAAACCTGGGCAGATGGGCGAGGTGGTAAAGGAAATTAGTAATACTTAAATGGGGACGAGAGATGGGAGCGAGCAATTTAGACTAATAAATCTGGAGGGATTATCAAGCCCCTAATGAACCCTCTGAGGTTTTACAATCACTGCCTAATAGAAAAGATAAAATCAGAGCGAGCTGCTGCGAGGGGGAGCAAGCAAGACGAGGGCTTTAAATGGGGAGAGAGCCCATCAGGAGGGGAACAGACGGTCTGTGCAGCATTAAGCTACCTGAAGATGGAAAAACGGGCCAAAAAAAGGATGGAAAAGGGGCGAAAATGCCGAATTAAACACCTGCCCTGCAGCATTAGAGGGGGGTTCTGTTCCTGTCTGCTGGCATTAATTTTATTTAACGAGCGTATCCCGGCCGGCAGCCAGTTCTCTGCGGAGTGCTGCGTGGAGGCGAGCGGCCACGGGCCCTCTGCCACCAGCCTGTGGGGACAGGACCGGGGGTCCCCGGGGTCCTGGGGTGCCATCGGTGCTCGGAGGGGAGGCAGAGCAATGTGTGAGAGCAGCTGCCAGCCTTTGGCACGAGGCTGCGGGAGCAAACCAGGAGGAAGCCCTCAGCCCCCAGTGTGTTTCCATTGGAGCCGAGGCGAGCAGCCTGATGTAAAAATATCCACGGGCTAATTTACTGCGTGCGAATTCATTATCAGCCGCCTTCAGCCAGCTCTGGGGACCCTTTCTGTCAGCAGCAGAAGCTCCACAAATTTTCCTGGAGCCCAAATGAAACCCGCAGATCAGAGCAGGGCTGCTGCCTGCTCCTTCCCCGTGTCCATCATCTGCGTAAGGGTGCTCTCGAGCCAGGGTGCGACCGAGCCCCCTTTTGTCCTCGTCCCCCTTGTAGGGTGTCACAGTGGGACCTAAGCTGAAGAACAGCACTAGGCAATGTCTGAGAGGGGAGGGGTACAGCTCAAAGCCCAGTTGACAATTTGATTTATGATAATGCTGCTAATAAGGCCAGTGCATAGGTAAAGCGTGGCAGGCTGCTTCGAATTGGGACAAAAGGAAAAAAAGAAAAAGTTTCTCCTGGTGCTAGAAATCCTGGAGATCAGCAGTGCAGAGCAGAAGGGGTGTTGGATGCCTCCAAAATCCTGCGGTACAATTAATTCTTGTAGCTTGTTAATTCTCTGTGGCTTGTTGTTGTTTTTGTCTTTTTTTTTTTCCTTTTTTATTTTATTTTTTTTCAATATAACATATGGACCCCGGGCTGGGCTTAAATTTCAAAACATTTATCAAGGAGATTAGATGGAAATAATTGAAACAATTAAAATTATTACAGTAAGGAGGGAGGTGTAAAGGAGTTTTACTCGTGCTTTGAGTCAGGCGGTCTATTGAGTGGCTGCAGGTTTGTTCCCCGACAATATTGTGCGGAGGTGTTGTTGCTGATAAAACAGCTGCCGTATTCGATTTCCAGAGCCCAGATAAATCAGCTTGGCTTTGTTTATTTGTTTCCTATTGTTCCTTCTTTGTTAGTGGTTTATAAAGAGCTTGCTCCTCATATAGGACGAGTTTTCCAAAGCTCAGTTGTCGCTCTGGATGCCCCGTTGGGACCGGCAAGCCAAGCAGCATCCAAATGGCCCAGGAAATGTCACAAATTTCGGCTCCATCACGGGCTGTGGTGCTCAGCCCCACTGCACGAGGTCTGTAGGCATCCCTCAGTCTCTCCTAGGCTCTGGTGCAAGTGAAGGGCACAGACTTTCTCGTTAGGTTTTGACAAATTTCGCCCCAAAGGCCAGCCTACCTGCCCGGCTCCCTGTAGCTGATGCAAAGCTTTTCGAGGAGCCTCGGCCGTTCCCAGAATTTATGGTGGGTTCCCTGAATTTATGGTGGATAAATTCCCTGAATTTATTGTGTTGTCGGTGACACGTGGTAGGAGGGCAAACAGATCGGGTTGGTGCAAGGATGCCGAAGCCATTTCTCCTTATTTTAGCTAGCAGGAGAAGAGGAGGAGTTCGGCAAAGCAGCAATTTGTGCCTCTCTGCGTCTTGCTGCCTGCCTGTGCTACCTTTTACCTGTCTTGCATCTTCTTTGTGCATTGTTCAGAGTCCTTTAGGAAGCCCAGCGCATGTTTGATTTCCAGTTGTTGAGTAAATCATTCTCTCAGATCCAGCCCAGGCCCTCTGCTGTGAGAGCAAACCTCTCTTTTTTTTCCCTCCCTCCTCGTGCTTTCTCGTCCTATTTGTCTCAGCCCCCCTACCCCGTTTCCACATGCCGTCCCTTTCAGGCCCCAAACTCTCACTTGACCCCTTCTTCTTTGAGCCTTTGTCACTCCTCAGCCCCAGTCTCCCTGCGGGGAAGTCGAAGTCGCTCACTCGCACTAACGATGCGGGCAGCGTGTTTTCCTAAAGTGCTCTGTTTGAAGAGCAGCCTCCAAAATCCAACAGCTCTCCTTGCATGAGGAGATAAAAGGCCTGTCCTTACCAGCACACGGCTCCGATGCTTTTGTGATGCTTCAACTTTGGAAGAGCAACCGGATTCTGTAGGGACAGCTCCCCTGAATCATCACCAAGTTCACCAAGATCCCTGTTCCCCTTTAACTACGTGAACAGCCAAATAACACGGTGAGTTGGGTAGGTCATCCACATCCACGTATCCCCTCAAAAGGCCACGATTCGTTCCCATGATGAGGCTTTTTTTTTTTTTTCCCTTCCAGAGAAATTGATTTCAATGCGTGGTCCATTATAAACTTACTGACTCTGTCGATAGTTTATAAATAAACGGAGCCTTTCAAGAAAACCATAAAACGCTTAACATAATATTGCCCACTTCAGTAAATAAGTAAGTGTCTTTTTGGAGGAGCTTAGGAGTGATTAGCATGCTCAGCCCCGAGGGTAGCAGGATGCAGAGTGCCAGGCTGGGAACTGTAATCAGAGGTTGGAGGGTGACAGCTTTCTGAAGCACCAAACACCCTTGTGATGGAAGGTTTGCCAGCGTGAGGTCTTAATAATAGAGAAATGGAAACCTTGGCCCAGCGTGCTCCTTCCTATCCCACATAAAAATAGAGGAGGAACAGGACAGCGTGTTCTGGAGCTGCTGGTGTAAATCAGCATCTGTCAGGGGGACGGATCCTTGGCTGGGATGGGGCTGAGCTCAGTGCAGGCAGCTCAGAGCTGCACCAGGAGGCTCTGTGGGTGACCACGGGCTGGGACAGCAGCAGAGGGTCTCTGGGGCTGCTCACCAGCAGAGCCAAAGCTCCAGCGAAATCCTTGCGGTAATTAAGAGAGGAGGATAACACGTGTGTGGGTGTGAGCAGAGGGAGGGCTGAAGGCATCTTGGTGTCAGCGCGGTGAGCAAATCCTGGTTATTGCAGGGCTTTGGGGTGAGGTGAGGTCAAAATCTGACCAGATGGGTGAAAACAGCAGCCAGGGAGGACCTGGGCAACGTTCACGGGGTCTGCTTTGGTCCACAAATGAGTCACTGAGGAGCAGATCTGGGAGGATGCTTCATGAAACCGCTTGAATTTAAGCGATGGCTTTGATGCTTTGCACCAAAGGGCAGGTTGCTGATCCCCGTCTCCTGGAGGCTGAGTCCTGCTGTCAGGTTTTTCACTGCTTGTTGTTTTTTTTTTTTTCTCAGCACCTCAGTTTCCTCCTCTGTGCAATGGGTACAAAACCACCTGGCAGGTGTCCCTGGAGTGTTGCTGCTATGAAGTGGGCACGGAGCGATGTGCCTGCACCCTGTGGTTTTGTGCTCCTCACAGATTGGAGATGACTGCGTGTAAATCTCCCAGCCGTAACTCACCGCCGGTGACGCCACAAAACCCGAGCTCGTGGCTTTAAAATCATGAATTAGCGAGCTTGGCCGGGTGGCTTTTATTAGGCAGGTTCTCCCAGTGATCTAAACGCTCGGGTCGCTCCCAGGGTTTTGTCTGCTGCTGTGAAGTGAGAAGGCAGGTCGAGTGCCGCATGGAGCACGCCAACCCAAGAGTGACTTCATCCTCTAATAACTCCTCCAGTGCCGTCTCCCAGGGAACCCCTTTGTATTCAATTAGCTAATGTGCGCCTAGTGCTTTGAAAATATGGAGTGCCATAGAATCGCTAAGTGTTGTTATTTAACGGCACATATTTAGCGGTTGCAGCCCTGTAGCAGAAGTCAGAAAATCTGCACTGTAATTGCCTGGCGCTGCTGCAGACTTTGCTGTGATCTGAGCAAAGCCTGGGGACTTTTCTTCTCGAAAAGTTCATTAATTCTGGCTGCGGACCTTCAGGGCCTGCTTTTTCTGCCATCTCAGGAAACAGGATATTGACTTTTGGTGGGTGCGCTAAAAAACCGACCTGGAGAGGGGGGAGAACTCAGGCAGCCAGGATTTGTGTATCTGAAATTAGACTTGGAGGCAGTTTTTTATGGTCTTTGTGCCTCGGGTTGCAGTGGAGGCATAAGGGAGCTGGTCCAAGATGTGCTGGTCAGGTGTGGTGGTTGTTATGGGGTAAGGAGGAGAAAAATCATTGGGAGCAGAATAGAGGAGAAGAGAGAGGAGGAGAGGAGAGGAGTTATTCTGTGTCAGCTCTGCTGTTGAAGATTCTTGCTGGCTTAGGTAAAAGCCATCTTCAATGTGTCTTGTTGAGTTGACCTCAATGAGCAATTCTGGGATCTGACACCAAATCCCTGCGCGCCCTCTATGGAGCCATTTGCCTGTCTGAGCTTTGTTTCAAAAATACAAACTGTATTTCTCTACCTCAGTCTGAAAAGGTGGATGTGCTACTGCTTGCATGCGAATACCTGGCAGTGCAGGGATGGGGCTCACCTCCCGTGGTGCCCGTGTGCTGTCTGAGCAGGACTGCAGCAGAAATGGGGCTTTCTGCAGCTGGAGTTTTGCCTGGAAGTAGACAGATACAGAGAAGAGAGGCTGCAGGAAAAGCCAGAAGCTCGCAACGAGCATCCACCTCCAGCACAAGCTGGGAAAACGCTGATGTGAGGATTTTCACCAAACAGATCCGGGGCTTTTCGGTGCACAGCATCTTGGTTTCCTTCTGCATGTAGGGCACTCGGGAGGCCACTCGCCTTGTGCACTGTTTGCCTCGCAGCTCTGCTGGGGGAGCCGTTGTTTTGCAGGGGCTCAGCGCATCTCCTGCTGCTCCCTTTGCATCCAGGAGCTCCTCGGGCCCCGGTCCTCATTAGCCATCTGCCCTCGCTGCGCCGCTTGACAGGATGCTGTGGGTAAATGGATAACCTGTCAGCAAGGCAGGAGGATAATATCATTCAAATGAATCAATAGTTCACAGGCAATTTCATGTTACCTAACGTTAATGCGGTTGTGTCCAAAACGCACTTAATCCTGGGTCTGATCGCGTTCTCGGGGGAGTTTGCCAGGCTGGAGCAGTCTTGTAACTCTGTTTTTTGGAGATTTACAGGCATTGTTCCTGCGCGCACACATACGCAGGGACAGATAAAAAATGACTTGACTCGCTGAGATCTCCTAGTCCACGGAGCCAAAAGACATTCATATTAGTGATGGAAGAGATTGGGCACCCAGCAGTTTCTGAAACTATTACTCCCACCTTCTCGCTCCATTTTAGCAATTAGCAAAAGAGAAATTAGTGAGGAAGGCACCATTATTTCCTGCTAATAGGACGGGGAGGGCTGGACGCTCCTCCAGGAAGCCGGTCCTGCTGTACAACCGCTTCCATTGGCATCGAGCTCTCCCTTTTTGCTTGCGGTTCATTTTAACACCGTCCTTGGCCAGTTTGCTCCCTCCCCGGGGACGTAGGGTTTTCTGGCAGGTGGCATCTCCTCAGGGCACCTGGAGCAGCACCACAGGATGGTGTTTTCCATGCAGCCTGGCTTGGTTTATTAGCTCGAGCTTGGTGTTTCTGCCTTGGCACGGCGGTGGTGCGGTGCCGTCGCTGCGCGCCTGATGTCTGCAGCCCAGGATGGGGTCTGGGTCAGGCGCTCTCAGAGGAAATTAGGAAGAGCAAATGGCATTCATTTCTTTCCAGACGTGGCCCTTCACACTCTGGTGGTCTTGCTGGCCTGGGGATTCCTCCTGGCTGGGGTTTGGATGGACAGCCCGTGCCCGTGTGCTCGCGCCATCTGGGGCTCCCAGCGGCATGGGAGCGCTTGTCCCGGAGATGAGAGCAGAGCTGGGGCATCCCTGAGATCCCCCGGGGATGCAAGGTGGCTCTGCCTTCCCCATCGCCCTCTGTCAAGAGACAAAAGGCCCCTGGCTCTTTGTTTAGCTGAGCACAAGCCATGCAGCATTCCTAGCAGGTTGCCTGATCTGCCTGAAACATACCCAGTGCCTCCCTGCCTGCGCTGAAGCAGGGAAGTCCTGCTCAAAAATGAGCTTTCCAGAACCTGCTTTGGAGGATTTGGGGTCTGTTTTGGGGAAAAAATAGAGTGCTGGACTTGGTTGACATCTTCATTACCAGCCTGCTGAGCCCCATCGTGGTCAGCACCCAGGATTTCCTTACAGGCTGGTGGGAGGATTTCAGGCCCAGCTTGGAGGTGGTGGGTTCCTGTGCTTTTGGCTGCATGGCACCATCTTCCCTTCAGTAATGTTGTCTGGTTTTGAACTTTTTGGTGCCTGTTTTCTTTCCTGACCCTGCTTTCTGTTTTGGGCTGCTTTAGGAGTTTTCCCTCCAGCGCCTGGACAGCCTGCTGGACGACCGAGTCAACATCCTGGGGTTTTCCATTTTCAACCAGTCTCACGCTTTCTTCCAAGAGTTTGTGCAGAGCCTCAACCAGTCCTGGCAGGAGAACTGCGACCACGCTCCTTTCACTGGCCCGGCAGTAAGTAAAACCCTTCCATCGCCTCGGTGAGTCAGAAGCTGCTCTCATCCATGGGGACCGTGGGGCAAAGGAGGGAAAGACCAAGGAAAACCTCCCCCTTTGGGGTGAGAGACCTTCGGGAGCCATGTGGATGGAGAGCTTTAGAGGGCTTGGTTGTACTTGAACGGCTGTGCAGTTTTAAATTAAACCTAATCCGAATTTGATTTGTATTTGGGTGTGAGTGCAGGGGATGGTGAAGCGTTTCCCAAGGGAAATTAGTCCCTGTGTATTTACCTTTGGAAAGTGGCTTGTGCAAGAGGAAGAGGCAGTCTGGATGCACGTAGCGTGGAAAAAGCTTGGGCTTAGGCAGCTGCCACGAGGCTGTGCGGTGCTGTGCGCTCTGGCATCTCCCTGATGGGTGCAGACCAGCCCTAAAATCTTCCCCAGGGACTCCTGGAAGCTCAGAGGGTTTGCACAGCAGCCTTGCCAGATTAGGATGCAGGGGGCTGCGGCTGGAGCTGGGGGAAGGGAGGCAGAAAATGCCATCAGTGGAACCTTGTGCAGCTTTTTTAATGAACTCCGAGTCTCCTCGACAAGCTGCAGCAGCAGTGTGCTGCTGAAAATCTTATTATCACTACAAAGTGATCTTAAGCAGGGAAAATAAGGAGCTTTCTGCCCTTTGTGTCCATGTCCTATTGGCTTGACATGGTGCTCAGGCCATGCTAAGTACGTGCCTGGGAGCCTCCTGCGCCGAGGCGGCTGCTGCCTGCCCTGCTACATCTCTGTAGGGTGGCTTCCAGAAAGCTTTCCCTTTTTTCTGGTGGTTGCAGGACTGTTCCCAGGCATTAAAAATAGATTTCCTTCTAATAGCACAAGGGTAAGACAATAGGCAGAGGAGTGCTGCGGGTGTGATGGGGAAATAAGAGAGCTCATTGCTCCTTCTTACCCTGCGTTGTCCTAAACGACCGGCAAAATCTGGAGGTGGAAGGATGCCGGTGTATGCCTCATTGCAGCACTTTTCTTTTTTTTTTTTCGAAGAGTGAATGAGTTCAGAGCTGAATGGAGCTGTTTGGTTTGTGAGCCTGAACCTCAATCACCCATCAGTGCAGTGCTAAGCCAGCTGGATGCTCCTTTCATTCATTCCTAAAGCACATTCAGCATACAACAGGCTTCCTCGCGGGCCAGGGAGAGGATGCATCTGGAGAGGGGGCTCAGCCAGGCTGCACCACCCCAATCCTCAGCTGCTCCAGCCCAGGAGTATCCCAGGACCTGCCTGAAGGCTTCCCAAGCTCAGTTGTGTGGCTGCTCTTGGCGCATGCCATGCCCCAGGTGATGAGAAAAATATCTGAGGCTGTGAATATTCAGAGTGGAGGACATGTGAAATATTCCCAGGTGGGATGTGTTTCCCCTCCTGCACCTGCCAGGTAAATCCCCTTCTCCTTCACTGTGCTGGTGGAAGTCTGGCAGGTCTCATGTCCTGGACGTCCCCTTTTTCTCTTCCTAAAAAGAGAAAAGGAAGCTCAACAGCTGGAAGTGACAGGAGGGAGGTTTCCTGCGAGCTCCAGGATCCAAGGGCTTTCTTGAGGGAGCTGAGAAAGCATCTGAGGAAGGAGGAGGGAGCTGCTTGCTCTAATGCCATTCTCATTAATCACATCGCAAAGAAAGGAAATCAGAGAAAATCATTCAAATTACAGATGGCTAGATTAGGTAATTAGAATTTAGGCTAAAACAGATGTTTGTAATTAAGTGTTTATGTCATTGAATAAAATCCAGATTGTAAAGTCTATTTCACAGGATTTTAATGGCTTTAATTCTCTGTGTTATGTTTGGGGCAAAGATACAGATGACAATGTTTTAGTAGGAAAAGAGGAAAAAAAGCCTGGCAAAACCTGGACTAGCCGAAGCCGCTCACATTTCCCTGGAGAGCAGCTTGCCTTTAAACATGGCCTTTATGTGGGGGATTTCTGTACCTAGAAAATAAAGGGATGTCTTTCACTTAGCCATGTTTAACCCATGGTTAGTGCCTGGAGGGGATCTGGGGTTGGGAGGAAGGTGTGCGAGGAGCTGTAGGGCACTGGGGAGGAGGAGATGGGGGCACAGGGGTGCTGCACACACCAAGCCCCCCACGTGCAGCCCGTGGCAGAGCCGTGACCTTGCAGAGACACCATGCAAACCCAACGGGGATCGGCAGGGATCAGCCGATGCGAGGAGGAGAATCGATTTGTTAGCAGGCAAATTGGCTCGTGGTGACAGTGACAAAGCTGGCGGCAATGAGAGCGTGAAAGAAGTGAGAGGTTTTATGGGCGACGTGAAGAAAGTTGGGATTTCCTGGCATGTAGGAGGCAGCTGGAAGCAGGGAGCTGGTGTCCTCCCCCAGGTAACCCCACAAGAAGGCACTCACCTACCCCCAAAAAAGCCAGAGACAGAAGAACAGAGAAGATTTGGCACAGGGATTTAACAGCAACAACAACAATAATAAAAGAGGTCCACTGAGGGCACAGGAGGGCCTCTTGTTCCCTATGGAGATGGCTCAATTTTCTGCATCACAACCCCCTCCCCACTCCCTAAACTGCTTGAAAAGCACACGGGAACCACCTGAAATCCCAGCAAATTGTTCGAGGCTGAGGATAAAATATTCCAGTCAATAATGTCAAATGCTTCACCAAGATTTACAAGTCTCTCACTCAGCAGCTAATAAGAGATCATTAACTGCTCGGGAAAAAATGGAAATCAAAACCCAACAGGAGGCAATTACAAACGCAGGGCCGATGTCCTGAGTTGGTATGAGATGGTGAAATTTTGATGTCACAGGGGTTGCATTTGCTGTCACAACATTTTTGACTGGCCAACTGCGTTGAACGTGGTTCCTGATCCAGGAAAGCAATTGCTAATTGTGTATGGTGTAACCGGAATGGGATCCGGTCCACAGTCAAAATTAAATGTTTGCTAAAGAGCTTCACTGATCGGGGGCCAAGGATGGGACAGGCTGGAGAATCAGACCCAAGACTGCTCGGGGCTCACGGGAAGGTGCCCGGATACTATTTGAGTAAGGCAGGAGCATCAGCTACGTGCAGGAGGAGAGATGGAGCAAACGTGAGTCAGTCCCAGGGGACAGGAGTTGGAAAAAGGAGGGATTACGGGTGCTGTTAGAGCTACAGGTCGGGGTTTTGCTGGCATTAGGCTGGAATCGTGCCTTTTTACTCCTGCCTGCTTGTATGTTTTAAGGCTTTGCACTGCTCGTTACCTGCCTAAGCCCGGGACATTGCAGTCGATGAGGTTCCACCACTGGTCTGCGTGAGGTCAAGCAGGGTTAAGTCGGGCTCGCTCTGTCCAAATTAGCGATGTGGTTGAAGCCCAGGGTTCCTGGGGAGGATTGAACCGGGTGAGATTGTCCCCACAGGGCAGCTGGCAGAAGTGAACAAAGCTGAGCAAGCTTCGGAGGAGGAAAGGGGCACGAGGCTGCAGCTGAGCTGCCCGAAGTCACCAAGAAGGCAGGGCAGGGGACAGGAGCCCCCGGCTGGAGCTGGCCCAGCCCACGGCCACAGCTGCAACTGTAAAGGATGCTTTGGGAAGGAACCATGAGGAAATCATAGCCTTGGCAGTAACGAGCTGCAACAGCTTAATTCCAGCCGAGTCAGGAGGTGACAATAATTAGAAGTGAGATCTTAGCCACGCCAGTGAACACAAGGGAGCAAACGGCCAATTATTGACTAGATCAAACCCCTCAGAACGACGGCGTGGGCAAAAGACACGGTCTGTGCGGCTGGATGGCCAAGGAAATCTGATTAAAGGCAAACCGAGCAGAGGTGGGAAGGCGAGGGAGCGAGCTCTGTGATGCTGGACATTGCAGTGCCACTGCAGTGCAGGTGACAGCAGGATGCTGGAGGCGGTGGCACGGGACAAGACGGTGTCTGTTGCACCAGAAAGCCAAGATGATGTTGTTTGGGAAACAGCTCTATGAAATCCTCATTTCTCATGGATCTGGCACTCACAGCAGTGCTGGAGGGAGGATCCTCTGGCCCCTAATGATGGTTCATGCAGCCCAGTTGTGTTTCCTCCTGTGGGTGCAGGGTTCCCCTGGGGCAGCAGATCAAACGGGTGTCCCCAAAGGACCAAAAAAACAAAGCTTGCTTAGAAAAAGTGAGTTTCTTTCTCTTCCTTTCCCCCGCAGCTCTCCTCCGCCCTGCTGTTCGACGCCGTCTACGCCGTGGTGAGCGCCGTGCAGGAGCTGAACCGGAGCCAGGAGATCGGCGTCAAGCCCCTGTCCTGCGGCTCTGCCCAGATCTGGCAGCACGGCACCAGCCTGATGAATTACCTGCGCATGGTGAGCGGGGCTGGAGCTCGCCGGCAGCGAGGGGTGGGCACGTGGAGGCTGGCACAGGTCTCGGGCACGCAGCATCCGTCTGTTTGAAGCCAGCACTGGCAGTGAAAAGAGAGGAGATCTGAGGGCTGGTTTGGTGCTAGCCTTGGAAGTACATGAAAACTCCATTTTTCAGGTTTTGCTGCAGAAAAGCTGAAGTTCAATGATTTTTATTTTTTTTTAAGTGGGAATGTTTCTAAGCGGTGCGAGTTCTGTTTTGAGTGAACTCGGGCTGATGTGAGGTTGTGCAGTGCAACTGCTTAGAGCTCGGTGGCCAGAGGTGAGCTGCCTGTGGAAGGCTTTGGGTCCCTTTGAACCCAGAATTGTGCTCCCTAGGATCAGGCTGAGTTTATCGATCTCACCCTCAGAGCGCGTGCCCACCTCGACGGGCGCTGTAACTCACTCTCTCTTGGACAGGTAGAATTGGAAGGTCTCACCGGCCACATCGAATTCAACAGCAAAGGCCAGCGGTCCAACTACGCCCTGAAAATCCTGCAGCACACACGCGGTGGCTTCCGACAGGTGAGGGAGGTGGTTTGGGCTGCTGGGGACGCGCTGGGTGCATCCTTGCAGGATTTTGGCTCAGGATATTGTGGGTGAGGGGGGGACAGACCCAGCCCCTGGCAAGAGGAGGTGTTCAGCAAGCGACAAGGTCGCACATGAGATGCTTTTGTACTCAGGCTCTCGTTTGCTTTTTGGCTCAGTGCTTGTAGGTTCCTCACTGCATTGGTCCTTATTCTATCCATTACCCTCTCACTTTTCAAGTGATGTCTTCAGTCAAAATTAAGGATGCTGTGGGGGCCGGAGCTTGGTGCCACTGGCATCAAACTGTTGAGATTACGTGACACAAGTCCAAGGAATTAGGCTTTCACTAGTAAATCCAAACCTCCTTCAGGAAAAAGGGGGAGAAAAAAAAAATTGAAGCCCTTAAAGGAGACTTTTTGTCTGTCTTATTTCCATGCTGACAGCGCTACAGCTGCCCTTTTCTTGGAGATTGCTGTATCCCCTAGATGCTGGCAGAGAACAAAAGCTGTTGTGTCTTACTGTCCTGTCCCACACCAGCAGAGCGTTCTGGCTTTAGGAAATCTTTTGGTCTGGCAGCAGTGAGCTTTAGCCTCGGCAGGACGTTGCCTGCCAGCCCTTACCTGTCAAGTGACAGCTCGGCTTTGATGCTGCCTTTAGCTGGCTCCGGGTGAGCCGGGCTCAGGATGGCATCCTCCCCACAGCAGGATCTCTCGGAGCACCGATGCCCTTTGAATCATTACCCAAGCCCATCACGCTCTGAGTAAAAGTGACAGCTCCAAGCCCGTCTGCATTAACAGGAGCCTACGTTCAGCTGAAGCAAGGGAAGCAAATGCTGTAAGCCTGGCTACGACTGCTGCATTTTCCACGTGGCAGGGAGCTGGTGTGAAGTGTGCAGGTCCTCCTGGAGCAGCGCTGCTCAGGGAGCTCCACGAGGGCTCTGAGAGCTGCATTGCCCCTGGCAGCCCTGCCCGTGTAGCTCAGCTCCTCACTCGGGTGACAGAAACGATGGCTTTTCCTTCCCATCACCGAGTAAGCATCCCTGCTTGGATCTCCCCTCCCTGGGCAGGTGAAGGTGCCAGGTTTCTGCCTGTACTTCAGGTGGTGCTGGCTCACTCTCTGCTGTCCCTGCTGACCCTGTCCCTCGCTTGCAGGCTTGCTTTGGGGTTGAAGGGTGGTCCTGGTTCCCATCCCGCTGTGTTTGGTGGCTGCGAGCCCTCTCCCAGCAGTTTTTCTGCCTAAAACCTGCTCCGTCTGCCCACAGCAGCCTTTCTGCCGCCTGCTCTCCCCTTCTCAGGCAGCCCCACGGAGGATCTCGCCTAGCAGCAGGGCCACGTGGGACCTGCTCGCAGGTTTTAGGGGCTGTCACCCACGTACCCAGCTGGGACGGTGACCCCAGACCCTGCTGTGGTCTCCTCCATGGCTGCAGAGGGAAGCCGAAGCCCTGGAGGCTGCAGCCTCTCCACTGCGCCATAGGTGGTTATCTTCTGCTCGCCAAGCAGGCTTCCCGGAATGAAAATAACTAAATAAATCATTAGAAATCATTTAATTAAACCCATCGCGAGGGGACAGGGTAAGGAACAGGCATTCACATCCTGGGGGCAATCTTGTTCCCAAGGGTTGCATTAGCTGATTTGTCCGGGCCCTCGTTTGAAACGCTCCTATTCCCTTCTTATTTTTAATCAAGCTCACGCTCTCTGCCCATTTCTCTCTCTTTCTCTCTCCCACCCTCTCTCCTTCCATCTATCGAAGCCACAGGGACTTCCAGCTCATCAGCTTTGATAGAGAATTCACCGAATCTTGAAGCTGATCCAGGTCTCAGCCAGCAAACAAATTAGAGACACTTAGATTTTAAAATTTGCTGTTGCTTTTGGGCAAGGAGAGACAGGGCTTTTTGACATCCAATTCTTAATACATTTATGTAATGCACCGAACGTGTTTTTTCCTGATTTAGCTTAACTAGTGGAAATTTTTCCCCAGCCATATGAAAGCTGCTCTCTGCTCACAGAATGCCCGATAAAGCACAGGCTCATTAATGTGTCGGTGATCCATAGATCTGACAAGGACTGAGTCGGTAAATGTCATCTTTTTATTTTCTCCCTTTCTTTCCCCATACAAAACGCATCGCTCAGGCTGCTGGGCAGCGATTTGCGCTGAATGCCGAGCTGAGGTTTGGCAGCTCAACGAGAGGGAATGAAGAGGGGCTGGGACTTGCCTGGCCCTGGGGCAAGCGAGAGGAGAGGCAGGGGGGGAGCTGGAGCCCCACGAGGGGCAGATCGTCCCCAGCTCTGGCTGCGATGTCCTGGCGTCTAGCTGACTGCTGGCATCCAGCTCGGGAGCAGTGGAAGTGACGGGGGTGCCTAATTGCAGCGTTGATGAGCTGCAGATGAGCTACCAGCTGATGGCTCCGGGACCCTCCGCAGTCCCCGCCGCATCAAGCCTTTTTGACGGGGAAGCGGCTGAGCGGTCTCGGCGGGGCTTGCTCCTCTTTAGCAGAGGTTCAGAGACGGATCCTGCAAGGGGGCAGCGAGCTCGGAGCCTGCCAGACACCATCCATCCGTCCTGCCTGGGTGATGCCGGGTGTCATTTGTCTCCTCTGGGGGACAGGGGGGCTCTGGGGGGGGCTGCGTGTGTGCCCCAGGGATGGACAGGTTTCTGTAGCGGGCTCTCTGCGTGTCCCCTGCTGACTTTTACCCTCTTGCCTCCGTCTTGCAGCGTCCTTCAGGAGTGCCAGCCACTTGGCAGCTTTGTGCAGCGCCCTCTGAGGGTTTTCCTTCATTTGTTTGCTCTATTCCCTTATCCACCCCCCTCTCCAGCCACGAATTCCCTCCTTTCTGGGCTGGCGGAGGCACTGTGTACCCAGTACCCACTTAATTACATCTCCTACTGGCACAGCCCCTTCCCGACAGTGCCGACAAGGATTTCCAAGTGTAGACCTGATGAGAAATGGGAGCAGGCCACAGAGGAGGGGAGGTGATGGATGTGCTCCTCAGGACAGTGCTTGCTAATCGTAGCCCAGAGGGGAGCTGGCTTCGCTGCACTGGAGACCTGCCTGGTGTGAGACATCCACATTCAAGGCTGGCTTTACCTTAATTTTTAAGTAAAAGAATTAGGGACTCCTGAAGTTTATGGAGAGGTCTCGCCGTGTTGTCTCTCGCTGCCATTCGGACCCGCGGGGCACCGAGCAGCAGACTTCATTAAGATCATTAGTGCGAGGGGCTTTTTGTCATCCTGTGCCACGAGGAGCTCGCGAGCCCAGGCATCATTAACGGGGCCGTGTCTGAGCGGAGCAGCTGAAGGATTAAGGGAGCGAGCCACACTTGCGTTGCTTTAACTGCTGGTAATTTTCTCCGGAGATAAGAAATCTTTAAGTGCCAGCGATCCCAGTAATGCCTTGTGCAGAGCAGCTGATTTGAGGGGCCTCTCCTGCCTGTGGGGATGGGGCAATGTCAAGTCCTTGCTTGTCCCAGGCTCCAGCAGCTGCTTTTTGGGCTGGTTCGCCCTGAAATAGGGTCTTTGCTCCCTGCTGTCCACTAGGGCTTGTATCAAGAAAGGTCTCCTGCAGGAGGTGCTGAGGGGGCTGCAGGGGGCACGTACAGAGCTTTCTCCATCCGAGCCGTGCTGCCACCTGCCCCCAGGTGCTATAATCCCTCTCGCAAAGGTCTCGAGCTCCAATTTGCAGCCAGGTAGCTGTGTCGCCCCTGCTGCTCTCTCGGGAAAGCTCTGCCATCGTCGCTTCAGCTCCTCCCATCCTTGGAAGCCCTCCTTGGGATTTTTCAGCCTGTTTATTTCTGGCTGGTTTCTATCTATTTATTTTTGCACTAACGCTATCGTTTTAGCTTCGAAAGCTGTTCTACCTCTTTGCTATGGGCCTCCTCCACCCGCTGTATTTTTACAGACCAATCACTGCCTCCACCAAAAACTCCCGCGTCCTAAAAACTCCTAACTCCTAGTCCCGAGCCTTAACGCCACAACCATCTTAACCACGTCTGGGCAGAGCGTTTGATTATCCCCTAACGCGCTCAGCAGATGAATATGTTTTCTGTTTTCCAGAGGCTCTTTATCCGTAGCTAGAGATGATTAAAATCACCTTGACATCCGTCTTGCAGGAGGAGGGGGAGAGCTGAGGATCCCCGCCGTCTCCTGCCACGTCAAGCTTCAGATGTGGATCAGCACGAGGAGACAATTAGTGGCACTGTCACCCTGCGAGGGGACAGTCAAACAAGCCAGGATGGGGTGGAAGGACCCCGACACACGGCAGTGCTTGGCTTCGCTGCTGCGTTCAAAGCAAGGTCAAAGCCACTGCGCTGTCAGAGGAGGAGGCAGTCAATTAGTCTCAATATGCCAGCAGGGGAGGGAGGAGTCAGAGAAGAGCGAAGGCTGTTAAAATTAAAGTTAATCTGTCACTAATCTCTGCTTGTGAAGTCTAGGAGGGGAAAAAACAACGAGGCAATGTTTGTGACTGCTCCCAGGCTCAGAGGCAGGTGGAGCAGAGGGGGGGGTGTTCAGCAGCCGCTGCAGGAGGTGAGCACCTTGGTGCAGAGCTGGGCGAGCCCCCTGTCCAAGAAGAGACTGGTAAATCCCCAGTTTGAGGCTCTTGTTCCCAGAGATGAGTCCTGCCCTGCAGTTTGACCATACAACCAGGATGCCCAAAACCTGCTCCAGTACAGCCATCACCGTGCCTCCATCCCCCATCAGGGGCTCAGCGCCCCCGTTCTGGGTGCAGCCCCCAGGGGTGCTGGCAGCATGTTCAGAGCTCCTTGCTGGAACCCTGACCAGGAAAGGATTTGCTTGAGCCCCACGTTTATGGAGGAGCTGTGAAGACACGTGTGCGTTTTGGGGTCAGCCACCACCTCTCCGAGCCACGCTTCAGTGGTGTTGGAGCACTTTGGCTGGGCCAGCTCTTCAGCAAGTGGTGGGCTGGGACCTGGTGGGATCAGAGAGGCTCTGCAGAAGGAAAAAGGGAGAGGAAAGGGTCTCGGGGAGAGCGAGCTGGCCTCTCTCAGCTGCAGGTCTACAAATGAGACAATAAAAGGCTCTTCTAGGGGGCATAAGGGAGCAGGATCCTGATCTGTATGCTCAGTAACGGAGCGTTCATAAATACCTTTTACAGGGCCAGCCGGATGCTTGTCAGTCACCGGAGCCATATGGTGGGAGTGTACAGTGATTTGTCCTGTAAATTCCATTATCGTGCTGCTTCTCTCTCCAGATCGGCCACTGGCACGTTTCTGAAGGACTCAGCATGGACAACAGGATCTTCTCCTCCAACATCTCCGACAGTCTGTTCAACACCACGCTCATTGTCACCACCATCCTGGTAAGCAAGGGGGTCACCTACAGTTCCCATTAGCTCGTCGCCAGCCCGGTGCTTGGGGGTGTCAATCAGCTGCAGTATTATTCTCTCCTCCTACCCCCCTCTGCCCCCAGCATGCAGTGTTGCACACTGATTTCATAAAGAACAGACGATCAAATCTCTAATTACAGCACTGAGGACAATTCATGACAGTGTAATTAAACTCAAGTTGATGTTTCATATGGAAATGATATTTGATGAGTTCAGAAGCAGCTGGGGAGAGGGCTGGAATGGGGATAAGTTGCCATTTTACATTCATCTCTGAATGATGTTCTTGTTCTGTGTACAGCTGGTAAGTTGGAAGGGACAGTTGTCCCAGCTCCCCATAAAAATTACTAAAATTGGCTAAGATGGGTGCAACTTTCATGAACCAAGACCTCACAGGTACAGGCAATCCAGGCAATTACCCTTATAGAAGTTCCCTGTCCGGAGCTGGGCTGGTACCCATGACTTTTTCCAACACTTCTGCTGGAAAACCCTCAAAACCCCGAAGCGCTCTGGCCATTATTCCCTTACATCCCACTAAGTTTGCTGAAAGAGAGGCCGAGCTGGAAAAGTCATCCCAGGTGCTCCATCCCAGAGCTTTTGCATCCCAGCCTGGGCAGGGAGCCCCTTCCCCGCTGCTCCGTGCTGCCGGGACGCCCCGGCTAAGATGGGAATGACAGCTGCCCAGTTTCGATGCAGGAAAACCCCTACTTAATGCTGAAGTGGAACCATCAGGAGCTGGAAGGCAACGACCGCTACGAGGGCTTCTGCGTGGACATGCTGAAGGAGCTGGCCGAGATCCTGCGCTTCAACTACAAGATCCACCTGGTTGGTGACGGTGTGTACGGAGTCCCCGAGGCAAACGGCACGTGGACAGGGATGGTCGGGGAGCTGATTGCTCGGGTAAGTGAATTAACCGCTCCTTTTAGCCATGCTCCACTGGGACTTGGCTACGGCAAAGCCTGGCGCTTTATTAAGTGCTCCAGGAGGCTAAGGATGGATGGGGGTTTTCGTCTGCGTGTAAGGCTCTGACCAGAGGATCCCTCTTCAGTGTTTTCTCCTGGCTCTGTAAATGCATTTGTTGTGTCAGTGTGACAGTGTGCGAAGTCGTGGTGGGTGTTAGGGCCCCTGGGCGCTCTCAAGGCTGTTTGCTTTGCCTGCACTCAGATCCCGGCTCAACACCGAGTGGTGTTTGGTTATTTTTTTTTCACAGCGGGAAAAAAAATAATGGAAATTTGACATTAGGAAAATGTGCAGGTACCGGCAGGGTGGGCAGTAGAAATCAAAGCAAACTTGCAAAAAGGCACTGTTTGAGCAGGGAGGGAAGGGGGTAAGAATCCCATTTGTACCCAGAAAAGTTTGGGCAGGTTCATTTCAGCACCTCAGCTTTCGGTATTGTTTTTGGAGAGGAGCAGTTTTTGTTTGCTCGCTGTGCATGGATCGAGCTCTGTTCACGATTCCTCTCCGTGGCAGTGATGTAGCCTGAGAGCCGCCTGCTTTTGCTGGGTCTGGCAACTTCTTGCTCCTGTGCCCCGCTCCCTGCTCTTTGTTTTCCTCCACAGCTGAAGGTCCTTTAAGCTCCTTCCCCGGAGCTTAAACACAGTTGATGAAATGCTCCGAGATCCCTAGTAAAACAGGCTTAGCCAAAGCTAACATTAAGATTGATGCCATTTAAACCGATCCTTCCTCGCTGGGTTCCGCGCTGCCTTGTCATTACCGCCGTGCCTGCGAGGACCCGGTGACAGCTTCTCAGCTGGTGGCAGCTCCGCGGGGAGGTGTGGTTGTGATAATCCTCAGCGCTGTGCCAGAGGAGCACCCGAACCTCCCCATCATTACCCTTACATCAGCAGCGTGTCCTGCTGCAAAGCAGGGGAACAAGAACCCGATCCCATCCCTGTAGGGCGAGCATCTCTCCATGATGCCCCCCAGCATCCCTCTGCTTCTCCCCCAGCAGGCAAAGGGGGCCTGGCTGATGCTCCCTCCTCCCTTAGCAGCTCCGTTTGAGTGTCCCAAGCCAGCTGGGACACCTCTGGGGCTGAGCAAGGTGCAGGATACGTGCTCAGGTCCCCATTCAACCAGTGCCACCTCCTGGGTCACCCTTCCTGGCACAGCGCGAGCTCGGCACCAGCTGAGATTCCTCTGGTGAGGAGCCTCCTGTTTGCAAATGCTCAGGGCTATTGGCACAGTTTTTATCCGCCTCTCGCTCTGTGTATCCGCACACAACTACGTGTCAAACGCTTCTGCAGCAGTTCTTCTGGGAGGCGAGGAGGAGCGGGGTGTGATGTGTGAGCTGGGCAGGCGAGGAAGGGAACAGACCCTTGGGGTTTTTGGCCTGCTGGCCCTGGCAGCGCCTCCCCGTTGGATGGGAGCTCCTGGAGGGTGCTTTTTGGTAGCAATAAGTGTTTTAACTTCATCTTCACAGAGAAACAATTTGTTTCTCCTTCAGCTCGAGCTTTATTTAGGAGGATTTTTATTTCTGCTTCAGCAGGGCAGAGCTGGCAAATCTGTGCGAGGCTGAATCAGAAATCAGAGACGAGAACAGGCGTTCTCTGCTTTCTTCTCTCTAGGCCCTCCAGAAGCTTTATAAGGGTGGTTTCAGCGAGTTTTTGATGGGTGCCATGGCCTGGCAGGGCAGAGCTGGCCGTGTGCGTGCTGCTTTCCATCCCACCTGGAGGCAGAAGCAGCAGAGGACGTGTTGGCCACCCAGTTCCTCTGCCAGGGGATTCATTCCTTGGGCACTTTTCTCCCTCCAGCTCAGCTCCGTGCAGCCCTGAGCACAGAGAGGGCATTAGTTAGGACACAAACCTGCCACTGGGGTCAGAGCATCCCAAATCCTACCCAAAAGGAAAGCTCTGCACCCGACTCTTTATGCAGTGCTGTATTACTATAAATTAGGGGTTCCTTCCTCACCCCGATCAGCTTCCCATGCAGTGAGCTTTGACCAGGGTGCATGGAAGTGTGCAGGACCAGCAGCTATGGGCTATCTGGGAAAAACGTTTCCTATTACTGCTTCTGGATTGACCAGCTATTGATTCATCCCTAAGTGCTGAAAATTCTCTTACAGCTAATTGCGGGCTGTGGTACGAGTGAGACGCTTTCTGTACAAACATCCGTGTGTTGTTGACCCAAATTCACAAGGATGAATCCAATCGACCCGCTCACAAAACCCTTTAGGAGCTGAGGAGCACGAGGAATGGGATGTCTGGGGGTTAGCGGAGGAGCTGCTGAGGTCCTGGGTCCGGGTCAGCAGTACTGGGATCGGGAACCCTGTCAGCGTTGTGGACAGGAGAAGGAGAAGCAGCCTGGGAGAAGTCACTTGGAAAGACTCAAACCCCTTCCTTAATGAAGATATCACAAATTTGGAAACAGCCAAGCTAAGCGGTTGCTCTGTGCACACGGGGCAGGGCGGCTCAGCACCGATCCTAGCCCTCGAGGGAGCAGGGCAGCAAAGCTGCTCTCGGGATGGAGCAGGCATCCCCGATAGCCCCGCTGGGTCTGGCACGGACAACTTCAGCCTCCAGCAGCTGGGCTGACACCTTGCACGCCTGCTATCCATAACAAGCAAACGAGGGGGAACAGCAAATCTTCCTCTCGCCTATTGTTTGCCTTTGGAGCCTTCGGGGACAACAGCACGGGAAGAATTACGCCTCACTTCTTCCTGCCGCGGTACGGAGCCCGGCTTTGCCTCCCCGATGGTTGCCTTGTCTTCCCTTTCTCTTCCCCAGCACGTCCTGAAGCCGAAATGAATTTTGCTAGTCAGCTACAAGCCAACGAGTGTATTTTCCAGGCGATGTGACAGCTCTCTCTTTGTTCCAGCACGGCTCTACTTGCTGGCTGGGTAGCGGAGCACCTTGCTGGCTGTGCTCGGTGCCTGTATTTCGCCTCTCAGCACGCTGCTGGTGCTCAGCACCCTGCGCTCCTCCCGAGGAGCTGTGGCTGTGCCCGGGGGGTGCCTGCAGCAGCCACAGCGCCTGCCGTCACCCACCTCGGGGCTGCTCCCGGGGAACTGAGCTAAGCTGACAGGAGATGGTGTGGTTTTGCCAGGAGGCTTTACCCGCAGGAATGTGATGCTGGGGTTTTGCTGTGAGGCCTCCAGGTGCCTCTCATCCCACCCCCCCGCACGCTCACCTGAAGGACAGCACAGCCCGGGCAGGAGCACGCTCCATGGGGATGGAGGAAGGGGAAAAGAGGGAGAAGTTCTTCCAAAATTGGCAGAGTCCTGCAGTGGGTGTTGGTGTTCAGCGAGAAAAAGCTGTGCGTGGGTGACGGGAGGGAGGGAGGGGGGAGTCTGTGTGTGCCGGGGGGCTGCCAACGTGCTGGGGGGGAATGGTGGAGGTCGGTGGTGTGCTGCTGATCTTGTCCTGCACATGGTGTGCACGCTCACATCGCTGTGGTGTGAGCTGGGTGGGTGTCCCTGCCGGCCCTGGGTGGCTTTTGGGGTCGCCGTTCCCCCTGTGTCATCCCAGCTGGCTCTTGCCAAGGGCACAGGAGCGCCGGGCAGAGTTTCTCCTCCTGCCCCTAGAGATGGTGCAGGGGGAAGGCAGACCCGAGGCTGGTGTCTGCGCTCATTACTGATCCTCTAACGGAGGGTGGCAGCCCCCAGGGCTTTCAGGCTGTCGCTTTGCATACGGCAGAATTCAGACATCCTTCAAAAAAAAAGCAGTTTTGAGTGACCCTCACCTGGCCCTGGTTTTAAATGCAAGAATATGCATCCCTGGCTGCCTGCACAACCCAAAATAGCTCCTCTTGGATCAGATGGGCAGTCTGTGCAGCAATCCAGCCACCAAACTGTGCCACAGGACAGGTCTGCAGCCCTCAGGGTGAGGGAACAGAATAAGAAATACCTCCCCCTGCCCTTGGTCACAGCGTGTGCTGTTGGCAGTGCCAGCAAGGAAGACACTTGTGTGCCCAGGGGATTTAGGAGCCGAGGTGCTGTTGAAGTCAGGGACTCATCCTCCTGCAAGAAATCCCAGGTTTGTGCTGCAGGAGCCATCCTCCAGGCATGTTTCACACCAAAGCCTGGTGCAGCTCGGACTCTCCCCGCTGGCTCGAGGCTCGTGGGTGGCAACAGGGCTGCAGCAGGGCCGCCCACCCGGCCCTGATGTTTTGGGAATTTCGTCAGGATCGTTCCCGGCCGGGCTGCGCCTGACGTCAGGCCCCATTCATCACCATTAGCCTCCAGATGAGCCTTGTCAGCATCCGCAGCGAGGAGGCGGCTGCCTCCTCCGGACTGGCAGTCCCCGCAGTTTCCTCCGTCAGCCTGCTTTAATTGTTGTTCCTCCTCAGGAGCCCGGCTCAGCCTCTGTGTTTAACATCTTTCCTCTCGCCCGGTGCGAGTTTTGGCCTTGTCTGAGCGGTGCTTTGTTAAAGGAGCTCCTCTTCCCACCCCCAAAATGCTCTGGGTCCTCTTCTAAGCCGATTTCATGCTGACATTTAAAGCTGCAACTGTGCCGACGGCTGAAAATCCCCCAGCGTTCGCCCCTCTTCCCCCCATCCCTCGCCTCCTGGTTTCCCTTCCCCCAGAGCTGGGCCGCGGCTGGAGCGCAGAAACGCGAAGAAAAACCCCGTTTCTTCCCCAAAATGCATTGTTCAGGCTATAAAACGCTAACTCCTACCCGTGCTCAGGTGGGGAGGGGAGGAGAGAGCCGAGGGCTGCAGCGCTGCCTGTAACCAAGATACGCTGACCCCGGTGAATCACACCCGTCGGGTGCACATCAGGAGGCGAAGGAGAAAGCATGAAATGGATGCTGGGCAGGCAGGGAGAGCGCCGTGTACCCTTCCCAGATCAAAGTTTCTTGCTGTCAGAAGGCAGCCCTGAAGTTGCATCGCTTCTGAGCCTGGAGAGGAAGAGGGAGAGGGAGCCCGAGGGAGCGGAGCCGCGGACGAAGCCACCAGCAGCCAGGTCTCTGCCAAAGGAGGAGGCGAGCGGGGCCGTGCGGGGGTACCAGCAGCCTGCAAGGGGCTGGGGCTCTGCTGCTGCCTCCTGGGAGGACAAAAGTTGAGCAGGGAAAGAGCAGAGGGAGATGGGCTGTAATTGCCTTCACACCATCCAGCACAGGCAGCCCGTGCCCATGGGATGTTCTCCAGGTGCCTCAGCCCAATCCTTTAGCACCCCGTGGCACTTTTTGGAGAGCTGGGAGAGGAAAGGCATTGTCAGGATGAGCTCTATCTTCACCAGGGGCTCTGCTGGCGGAGCTCTCCCCAGGACAAGGGTACCTGCAAAGCCTTTTGACATAGACAGGAGAGGGTTAGGAAGCTGGAGGCTTTCCCCGCAGATAAAATTCCTCACGTGCCACGTTCAGCGGATGAATTGATCCCATCTTTGTAATCTCCTGGTGTTTACAGAGGGCTCAACTGCTCACACACGATGCTGTGATTGCTGGTGCCTTTTAAAAACCCTGTGGGTAAACGTCTGGCTAGGCAGAAACCCTCCCCAGCTCGTAACTCACTCCCGTCTGCACCTCCCAGGAACCCGTAATAGCTGCTGGGAAACAATTGCAGAAATCCAGCAGAGGGCTTGTCCAATAAAGCCGTCCTGTGAAATATCACCTTCTCCGTGCCCCCTGCCCCTCACCTGCTAGCGGGCAGGCTTGCTGATCCCTTGCTTTTCTCTCCCCTTTCCCCCTGCCTGCAGGCTGCAGTAAGGCTGCCCTTTGCTCCTGCAGCTCCTGCCTTTTCTTGGCCCGTCCTCCCCATCTGCCTCGAAGTGGTTTTTGGGGGGTGCAGGAGCGAAAGACACGGGCAAACCTCAGCCAGGAGGCACTTGGCCCTGTTTTTTTTTCCTCGGGAAAGCGAGAGCAGCAGGGGCAGAGAGCGTGGCACGAGCGGTGCACCAGCAAATTTGCCTTTGAGTGGTGCATTTGCAAGTAGGGCATGGATCCAGGGAGATAAGCCGCATATTTTATCGGGTCTTCAGGCCTGATGGTGCTTTAGCTTCTGCACAGGCCTCATGAAACTCGGGGACAACATGTGCAAATGGCTTTTCTTCCCCCCTCCTCCCCTTTTTCTTTCTTTCCACATGCATAATTGCCATCCTGCAAAGCAGGCAAACAAATGTATAAGAGAATGGAGGAGGTTTCATTTTTATAGAAAGCAATTACCGACATTAAAAGAGCTACAGTAATAAATATTATATTTAAAATTCAAATTCCTTATCTATATTACAAGGGTATTAACGTTGGAATAAATTCTCCCCCCCCTGCCCTCCCCATCTCATTTGGTTTGCAAGGCAATCTGGAAATTTTTACGCCAGTCCTCCGAATTTTTTGGAGTCGGAGCTGCAATTTCGGGAGTCTGGGTTTGGCAGGCTTGTAAACTTCATGGCTCGGGGTTTGTGAGCAATAAAGGTGCTTTGTTGTGATTTCCTACCTATGGTGCTTGCAAGTAACAGCAGCCTTGTCTGGAAGGGGGTGGCTGCATTAAATGGGGGCTGTGGAAGCGGGAGGCTGCAACCCACAGCTACAGAGAGGTAAAGAGTGGTCTGGAGCACGAGGTGGGTTATGCTTTGGGGTGTCTGGGTGAAATACATGCAGGGTGAGCACGGACATCACCAGGAAAACTCCTGCTGCTTTCCCCAGAGCCACGTCTTGCCCTGCAGCAACGCACCCCGTCCCATCGGGATAGGGCACCCACCTTCCAGGAGCGGGTGCGTGGCCCTGGGCGTGCTGTGCCCCCTTCCCTGCCTTTTCCCAGGCTTGGGGTCCTCATCTCTGCTCTCCTCTCTCTCCAGAAAGCCGACTTGGCAGTGGCAGGGCTGACGATTACAGCGGAGCGGGAGAAGGTGATTGATTTCTCTAAGCCATTCATGACTTTGGGAATTAGCATTCTCTACCGAGTTCATATGGTAAGCGACTTATTTTATAGCCATTTACGTCCCTCCATTATTTGCAATGCAAACGCGCCTAGTTACAGAAGAACAGTGAATGACTCATAAAAATATTTTCTTTTCCTATTTAAACACAAATGTGCCGGACATTTATTTTCTTTTTCACCCCGTGTCAGCTCAGTGCTTTCGGTTCCCATTGCTGAACCCGCAGCCCTGCTGGCTGCCTCCTTGGGCACAGCTCAAGGGAACCAGGAGGTGCCCAGGGTGCTGCTGCCTTGCAGGGGGGCTCTCAGAAACCCTTGCTCCTACATCAGCTTCGGGGGGGCGGAGCCCCCAGGAGGGGCTTTGCAGCTCCAAGCCCCCATTTCCCAGGTGTTGCAGAAGGTGAGCGCAACGGGACGTCCTTCTGTCCCCAACCCGGGGCTTTGCAACGTGCTTTGTGCGATGCTGAATGGGTTGAGAATTTCAGTCCTGGTCTCCTGTCAACCCAACAATAGCAGCCAAAAGGATAAAACAATTAGAGCTGCCTCTCCCTGCCCCCTCTCTCCCTTCGCGAGGCTGCTGGAGATGCAGTGTTCTGCACGAGCATAAACAAACTTGCGCACGCATCTCTCCGCGCTGAGTTGCTCCTGCCAAGAACAAACAAGTAATTAAAATCTAGTTAAAATTCCATTTCTTCTGGTACGTGCAGAATTTAGGATCAGTAGTTAACCGATCAGAAGGAGCCAGACCCTTTAAGCTTCGGCAGCTCAGCTGTGAGCAACTGTCCCTGCCCTGCTACCTTTCCCTTCCTGCTGCCAGCTGCCCCGTGCATCCGGGGGTGTTCCTGCCAGCATCACTTGGCTGGGATTATAATCAAGTTCCTGACTTTCTCACATGGGTTTTAAAGTTTGGGGATTGAGTCCCGTGTGTGTTCTGCCTCCGATCAACCCCACAACCTCGAGTGAGGTCCTGCTCCCCGAACAGCCTGAGGCTGATGGGGTCCCCCCATGGCAGGGGGTCCCCAGCTTCTCCTGCTGCGCTGAGGAGTGGGGCTGAGAGCTGGGCAGAATTAACTCAATATCCTGGTAAATATGCATTTAACTCAGAAAGGCTCATCGCTCCCATTTTCCTGGAAGGATGGGGTATGCAGAGCAGCTGTGGGCGGCCGCCCTGCCCCTCCTTCCCCTTCCCCACCCCAGCAGACGTCTCCGCAATGTCAGAAATTGCAGCTGACGTATGTTCGTGGCGGCACAGCTCCGACGGAGGCTAATAAATAACCACAAATGCATCGCTTGCCGAGGAGTAGCCTCCGTGCCCTAGTCTCCTCCCAGCCTGATGACATTTCATTTTAATTTCCATACAACTCCGCTTGCTAATGCTTTCTCCCCCTTTTCTCCTCCCCACCCACCCGGCCCAGCCACCACGCTGCGTCTCTTATCACACATAACCGAAGATGGCAGCTTTAAATGGGGCTGTCATTTTTCTCAATTCCGCTCGTTGTGATATAATCAAGTATGGATTTCTGACGCGGGGGCTCTAATAGGCTTTCTGCGAGGAGAAAAGGCTCGTTTTGTTTATTGCCTTCCCATCCTGGTGGGCTCTGCAGAGGGCAGGAGGTGATGACGGGTCCTCCTTGGCAAGTCCCTGGCGCTTTTTTCCTGCTTTGTTTGTAGCATGCACTTGGTTTTGCTCACACCTGCCTCTGTGGAAGGGATTGAGGGACATTGAGGGACCAGCTTGCACGTGGTCCTCGGTCATCAGCCCTGGAAGCCTTTGCTGTGCTCTCCCCTGAGATGGGAAAGCGTCGATTTAGTGAGCACACGGGAAGAGCTGAGCTCAGGGCAGGTGAACTGAGGCTCGAAGGGGCTCTCTGACTGCTGCAGGAGATGCAAGAACTGGGGCACCGATGCCACGGCTCCTCCCCAGACAATCCCTCCAGGCTGTCCTGGTGCTGCTGGGGGGCAAACAAGGAGCTCAAAGTGTCTGCCATGAGCCTGAGCATCGCTGAACCCAGCAGGACATTTGGTTTCCTCCTCTTTTCCCCACATGTCCTGCACAGTCAGACTCTGACCCCAATATCTGCCCCCTCCAGAAACCCACCGCCTGTCTGGCCAAGCACGAGGACTTCCAGGAACCCCCGAAGAGGGTGAGTGAATCCCTCTTGCCTCCTTCTGAGGATCTGCGGGAGGCCTTCATCAATTATTGGGCACTTTGAACGTTTCTATTCCAGGCAAAATAGCTCTTCCAATTAACAACGCTGTACTGGGACCTGCTAAAAATATCTGACAGACACCAGATATTGTCAATCCCATCTTCAAAACAGACAGATAAGAGAGAGTTTGTGCCCTCCGTGGGAACAGAATATCTTTATTCTTATCCACGACTGTGAATGAAAAGAATATGTAGCAGCAGCCTGGAAATGACTGAAGAGAAGCAGAGCTACTACTGCTGCAAGTCACAGGAGAGACTCGCTGCCAAGCCTGAAACTTCGAGCTTCCAACGCAATTTCCCTAATGAGCATAATTTATTGACAAACTGCCCCGGAAACACGGAGGAGATGTTGAGGCCCTCATTACAGAGAGGGACTTTGCTGCAGGAGCATCTCACGAGGGGGCCTCGGCTGAAATGCCGACGATGCCTGGGAATTCCCTGCTGGTTTTGGGATGTCAGGAAAGGATGAGCTGCTCGGAGATGGGTTTCTTTTGGGAGAAGCTCCCGTTTGCTTGGCTGAGGGCAGGAGGAGCCTTCCCACCTTGTGATTCCCCTTTCCCAAGCTCATTCCTGAGCCTGCAAACCCCTGTGGAAGGCGAGGCAGAGGAACGAGCCTTGCTCTAGGTGATGAAGGGGATTAGGGGGGCATGGGGCACTCAGGAGAGCTGTGTGGTTGCTGAAGAAGCTTTGGTAACACCCACCCTTGGCTCCCAGTTGGCATCACGAGTCGAAAATGGGCACGGGAAGGTCTGTACCACCAATTCCTAACTCATCTTTTTGTTACGAGGCTTAACAAGCCACAACCTCTGAAAATACTACTGTAGATCCCAGCTTCCAGCTCCTCTCGTCCTTAAGGACGAGATGTTACGGCGGAGTTCTTTGTAGGGCAGAGTTTGCTGTAGAAGGTTTCGGAGATACTACGGTCCCAGCTGGTGACTGGAGCTGAGAATATCACAGCATCCTAGATATTTTTGTCAGAGGAAGGTCTCTGTGCAACAACTATTGCCTTTTCTAGCAACTTCTCAGTCTTCAGAAGAATTTCGAGACCTTGTGAAATTCAGTTTTTGCATAAGTGTAGGAATATTTCAGTAGTAAAACAGTCTTTTTATAGAAAAAAGGGAATTTAAAATGCCCCTCTTGTCTCTGTGTAAGGAAACAAAACTCGTCTATGTTTCCTGGGGACTTTTGTGAAAACAGAAAATCGTTCACTGCCTTGGGATTAAGTGCACTTCTAAAATGCTTTGGTCTACCCAAGGCACCGGGCTTGCTACAGCAATTGCAGTGAGGTGGTTTTTGTTACCGGCTGCTGTTTATTACTTTACGTGTGCCATGAGCAGAGGGAGGCAGTGGATTACAGAAAAATGAGGGCTCCAAACCCTGAAGTCTGAGGTTTTGTGGTGCAAGAACTGACTTTGCTCACCTCTGCGCAGCCTTAACACAACCTTTTAGCCCCACGTTAGGAGTTGTGAGTTTTTGCTGGGAGCCTTTTGGAGGAGACAGTAAGAGAAGAGGAATGCTGAGTCCAGTGAATGGTGCACGGAGCTGGAGGCGGCAGCAGAAATGCTCCCAGCGGAACAGGAGGTGTTCAGCTTGCGAGAAACTTCCAGAAATCGATCCTCCCTTTGTACCGACGTCGCTAAACTCGACGAGATTTCGGTGGTGGCAGTGTCCTTGTGCAGCTTGGGAGGTACTTTGGGAGGAGGAAGGTGTGCCTTCCCAAGGTGCTGTTGCTGAGGTAGAAGCAGGAAATTCTGACGCATCCCGAAGATAAAAATATCGTGTTCTCGGAGATAAAAGTAATAATTTTATTGAGTTTTGTACAGCAGGAACATTTCAAGGCTAAAGAAAGCAAGCCAGAAATATTGCAAAAAGTGTTTTTTTTTTTCTTTTCTTTTTTGCATTAAGATGTTTTCTCCCCACTCTGTCACTCCCACCCACCCACTGCTGGCACCCAGGGGCGCCCCTTTGCAGCCACCACGTGTGGTGTGAAGCCTGGTGGGTGACCGTGGGCTCCCCCCTTGCCGATCCCGCAGGTGAGCGGTGCAGCACGCCCTGCCAGTGAGGAGAGGGCTGTGGTTTTCATGCTTTTCCATCAATTCACCTGTTTGTTTGCCTGGAGGAACAAAAACCCTTGTTTTTGTAGGGGGGGAATAGACTTAGGAGAGGGATCCCAGTGGGGAGCTGCTGCAGGGCGCACTCACTCGTGGCTATGTCTCACCCCTGTGAGACTTTTGCAAATCTCCATTTTCTTTATTTTATTTCCCTTCTGTCACTCCCAGCCACTGTCACCATCAGGCCCGGTGCGTCTCTTTGTCTCCTTTTTAGAACGAATTGCTCGATTTATAGAAAAAAAAAAAAAAAAGCTCAAACTCACTTTTGCTTCCCTTCCAGGGCCGCAAGCCTGGCTACTTCTCCTTCCTGGACCCCTTTTCCCCTGGCGTCTGGCTCTTCATGCTGCTCGCCTACCTGGCCGTCAGCTGCGTCCTCTTCTTGGTTGCTCGGTAATGTGGCCGCCGCCGCCTTTCCTTTCCTCGCGGTGCCATCTAGCGTCACGCTCCCAGCCCCGTGGCGAGGGGCCGCACGTGGGCACGTCCCCAAGGCCACCAGCTCAGGGGACACAGAAATAGGGGCAGGGTGGTCCCAGCTCCTAGCTGGGGATGGGGACTTTGCTGGGAGAGCATCACCAGGTGGCAGCGCTGGGTGGCCACGGGCATGGCTGGGTTGGGGGGCACAGGAGCGTGCGTGGCCCCCGTGGTGCCAAAAACTGCCTGGGAAGAGTGGGAAGGGGATTGGGATCAGGGCAGGGGCTGTGCAAATGGTGCTGCTGGCTGTGGGTTCTCGGATGGCAAGAGAGAAACCCAGCGGCATGTCTCGACCGCGACGGGCAGATGCCAGCGAATGAGTTGAGAGATCTTAATGCGAAGTGCAGGACGTGTGTCAGTCCTTCAAAACGCAGTGTGTACAGAAAGGGAAGTTCATTAATATCCCTCCAGAGCCTCCCAGCTGACGTGCGGAGCCTCGCCTGACAGCTCTCAGTTCATTTTCCCTATGACTAATTTAAATCAGCCTTAAAAAATGTCACCGAGCGCTTTGCGCTTCTCCGCGGCGCGTCTCCCATCGAGGCCTGGGGTCAGCGCTCCAGGGGCTTCTGACCCTGCAAACTTCAGAGCACTGTCCCAGCTCAGTGCTTGTCCTACTGCCAGTCCTGGGCCCCAGCACCAAGTCTTCAGGAAATAATCTCCATAACCAGCACTGCAGTGAGGTTATGGGAGAGGCAGGGCTGAAAGCTGACAGCTTTTTGGGTGCAATGCTGCACAAGCTGGCCCAGCCCTGCAGCTGTACTGCAGTATCCCCAAAATAAGCTGCCCGGCTCTGCTAACCATCAGCGATACAATGAACTGCAGCGTAGGATTTAGACGACTTTCTTAGCAACCAGGGAACCGAGCCTTGAAAACAGCCCAAAACGAGAGCCGGGCTGCCATCACTTCGGTGACGTGCTGTCATTTGTTGCAGATTCCCACCCCTGTCCCATCCCTGTGAGTGCTGAAAGCTCGTGGTGCTTTGAAACACCAGCACCTGGCTTCAAACCAGCCCTGGGACCTAGACCCAAACCTTCCTGGGGCAACCAGACCTTCTTGGAGCAACCTTTTGTGACAGTTCTTACTTGATGATGATGTTCAGCCAAGTCTTACACGTTTTGCTTTGGAATTTCCCCTGGATGCTCCTTCTCTGGCAGAGAACACAGCAGGAGCTGCCTGATTTCCATTCCGCATCGAGACCATGCGCTTCTGGAATTATTATTGCTGCTCTTGTCTGCGTTACAAATTCACACGTAGGCCTTCAGCCTCCCCGCAGCCCTTGGCCAGGTTTTAGCACAGCCTCGCAAAACTTTTGCAAGTCTCACAACAAAACCTCTGGCTCCTGAATCACAGAGCAGGCATTTCACACAGCTCTGAGCCCTGGGCATCAACTGACAGCAAAGAGCTTCCTCCTCAGAAAAAAATCTGCTTCCAGGAGAGTTAGGGCTTTTCAGCTTTCCTTTTTTTTTTTTTTTAACTTTTTTTTTTTTTTTTTTTTTTTTTTGCTGTTTTTCACCCAAGTGCCCCGTTTCCTGGCAAGTTACCTGAGCTACCTGTTATTTCTCCTCTCAGGCTGACGCCATATGAGTGGTACAGCCCCCACCCCTGCTCGCAAGGCAGATGCAACCTCCTCATCAACCAGTACTCGCTCGGCAACAGCCTGTGGTTTCCCGTCGGGGGCTTCATGCAGCAAGGCTCCACCATCGCCCCCCAGGCGTTGTCCACGCGCTGCGTCAGTGGAGTCTGGTAAGGTCAACCCTCCTCGAAAGGAAGGCAGCCCTCGGGCTCTGATGGAGGCAGGGGATGGGGATGGAGGTCAGACCCAGCCTGTGGAGAAGTTTAGGTTGGAAACGAGGAGAGATTTATTCTCAGAAAGAGCAGTCAGGCATTGGGACGGGTTGCCCAGGGAGGTGGTGGAGTCATCATCACTGGGAGTGTTTAAGGAAAGGTAGGACGTGGTGCTTGGGGACATGGTTTAGTGGTGACATTGGTGGTAGGGGATGGTTGGACGAGGTGATCTTGGAAGGCTTTTCCAACCCTAATGTTTCTATTCTCAGCTCACCGTCTCTCACCGCCCTCTCTTCCTCTCTCCCTAGGTGGGCCTTCACCTTGATCATCATCTCCTCCTACACGGCCAACCTGGCAGCCTTCCTCACCGTGCAGCGGATGGATGTCCCCATCGAATCCGTGGATGACCTGGCTGACCAGACAGCCATCGAGTACGGCACCATCCACGGCGGCTCCAGCATGACCTTCTTCCAAGTAAACCCCATTCTTCTGCTAAGCGGGGCAGGGGGTGCGGAGGGCACCCTTTGGTCAGCTTTGGATGCTGCCCCAGCCTGCCAGGCCTCTTCCTGGTGTGTTGCAGCCTGGTTTCTGGCATTGAGGAGACATTTGGGGAGCTCCCTGGCTGTTTGGTCGCACGGGGCTAATTCCATCATGGGTGGTGATGGGGTAAATGGTGGAGGTGGCACAGCAGAGGCCAGGGAAGGCAGGGATTTGTGAGGCAGCAGCCAGCATGCTTTTGGGATGCTGGAGGACTAGGCTCATCTGTGCTCATCCCAGAGGAGCAGACCTTCCTGCTCAGACTCAGAAAGTGACTTAACGTTTGGAGTTCCCCACCACGTAGGTAAGAAAGCCGTGCACGTCCATGTGTCAGCGATGGCATAGCGTGGACCTCAGCAACCGAGCGTTTGCGGTTGTATTTCCACGTCCCTGTGCGTGTTTGATGTGATCTTAGCTTCTCTGTGAGAGTCCCTCAGGTTGGGTAAGCAAAGAAATGTTTGCAGTCCCCTGGTAGGCCAGCTTATGGAAATGTGCTGGTGCAAAGCGGAGTTTGCAAGGGGTCAGGGACACTGAAAACACACAAGTCAAGCATGTGCAAACTCGATACGTGCTGTTTAGCCCAGTTTCATGTCTGGCTTCCCTCCTGGATTCAGAAGGGAAACAAATGAGTGAATCCTTTCTGCGGTGCTCTGATGGTACACAGAACTGCTCGAGGATTATTTGTTTATTACATGTTGAAATACCAAGAGGAGAGAAAGAGAGAAAGCTTTTCCCACTCCTCTTTTCCACTGAGTCTGAGCTGAACTGGGAAGAAGCCTGAGAAACATCTCAAGTGAGCCTGAGCTTTTCAGCCTAACTTTCTGCCCTTCAGGGGTTTGGCAAAAAGCTGCTTCTAAGCAGAACGACACATCTAAAATGAGCCGAAGAGCCCAAGTGAATAAAGTGTCTGTGTACAAGGCACTCGGTTCTTCCCAGGCAGACTTTAAAGGCTAAAACCCTGTCTGTGGCTCTGCACTGTCTGGTGCATGCTGGAGTAGCTGGTGGTGGGAAATAAATGAGTGCAAGGTGCTCCCAGACCATTTGCAGCCCCGTTCGCTGGGATCCCTTTGCCTTGGGTGTCAGGATGGTGACTCAAGCACAGCAGCATGTTGAGTAGGCAAGGCTGAGGCTGTCCTTGCCCTACAGCACCTTGCTTTGCATCCAAAAGCCTCCAGTTCTCATGAACAGGCACTTCGATTCCCTTCTGCAGCAAAATCCAGATTTTAGGGAGCAGCAAACTCCAGAGAGCTTTGACTCTGTGCCCAGACCTCGGTGCTCATTTCGGGCTGGTGGTGTCTGGCTCTGGTGGCCTGCTGAGCACAAGGGCATGGGAAGCGTTCAGTGGCTTAAAGAAGCCATCCGTGAGCTGTTTCTTCTGGCTGATTTTGGTTGTTTGCGATACAGTTACGGAAACTGTATTTTTTGCAAGCTGAATTTATGCAAAGAGACGTGATGGAACTAATTGGGATTAGGTATGCATTTCATGCCCAGCCTTGCCAACAAAGTCTCAAATCCACCAAGACATTTGGGCCTCTAAATCTCATTGGAATAACTGGAGGGCAGGCAGCCGTGTGCGAATCAGGCACCGGATCTGTTTCGACTCCCTTTTCCCGTCACGAAATGGGACCCTCGTTTTCCAGGAGGGTCTGATTGGGGGTGTGCATCCCCGTAACGTGCTCCCACTTATCCGTGCTGCCTCCTCTCTCCGGCAGAACTCCCGCTACCAGACGTACCAGCGGATGTGGAACTACATGTACTCCAAGCAGCCCAGCGTCTTCGTGAAGAGCACGGAGGAAGGGATCGCGCGCGTGCTGAACTCCAATTACGCCTTCCTGCTGGAGTCCACCATGAACGAGTATTATCGTCAGCGCAATTGCAACCTCACGCAGGTCGGGGGCCTTCTGGACACCAAGGGCTACGGGATTGGCATGCCCGTCGGTAGGCAGTGAAGACAAATTCTAGTCCTTCTCCGCTGTCAGCAGAGGACCGGAGCATTTGAAAAGGCTGAACCGGCTCTAAGGCCGAGGTCACGTTTCACGGCTCTGCCCAGGGTCATTTTTTTTTTTAAAAACTCAGGAGGAAAATCAAATGCACTGCAGCTGATGGTGCACGCTCAGGGCCAGATGTGCGAGACCCTGCTCTGGTCCGGAGCCAGGTGACACGTGACTGCGGCTCTTTAAATGATTCGTGTGAAAGCTGTTTCAAAATTGCTGCTTATTTTCTGCATATATGCTCTTTGCTGACTGTTTCCCTTTTGAACCAGTGGGGTTTGAATCGTTTTGTGCTTCTCGTTTCACCTCAGAAGTGCTGTGAAAGTAATGCTGGTGCAACTTCTGTAGTGTCTTAACAGCTGGTGGTTCTTAAAACTCCCCGACAGAGAGAGAATGGGACGATTCAGTCCTATCTCACCTCCTGATCAGGTTCCACCAAATGCAGGGCTTTTGTCTTTCGAATAGGAGAGCTAACAAGAGAAGCCCATCTCCCAGGGCAGCAAAGAAAAGGATGTAGCGGTTGTTATCCAAAAACGATCGCTGATCTTTGGGCCAGTCTCCCAGGCTCGACGCCTGGTCCCTGACCCCTGAGCACCCCGGGTAGCCACACAAAGTTGAGCTGAGTGACGCAAGAAGCCTCGCACAGGCAGCCACTAGAGCTTAGCTGACATGAGTAAGCTTGTAAAGTCACGGTAACCCGATCGTGAGTACAAATCCGTACTTTCATGACTAAATTTGTTCTGACATTGTCTTGTTAAGCAGTGAAATCGTAGCAGATAAGAGGAGCAGAAAGCTGCTCGCTGGGACAATGGTGCAGAGTTACCGGGAGAGCTGCTGCCGTTCCCACGGCCCTTCTTCTGCAGCTCTGGCCCCAGGAATAACGGGGCCTGCAGTGGGGCTGGGTGCTGAGCATCCTCTCCCGTGAACACAGGTTGGATCCCGCGCTGTTTTAGTGCACCAGTTTGAAACAGGAGCCTTAGAGCAAGCCTAGCAAAGCTCTCCCTGGCTACAGACTCCTTTAAGTGCGATATTTGGGTCTTGGGGTGCAGGCAGAACTTTTGTCTGCAAATGAGGTGAATTTATGGACAGCCCCAGCAGGGGAGCAGGGGGTTTCGAGGGCTGGCACGGAGCGAGAGAGCTCCCAAGGTGCCGGGAGGAGCGTTCGGGGCAGGCCGGTGGCAGGGCAGCACGCGGGACCGAGGGGTGGACCGGAGCGGTGCCTTAGCGCCTGCCTCTTGCTCTTGCAGGCTCCGTGTTCCGCGACGAGTTCGACCTGGCCATTCTCCAGCTGCAGGAGAACAACCGCCTGGAAATCCTGAAGCGCAAGTGGTGGGAAGGAGGCAAATGTCCCAAGGAGGAGGACCACAGGGCCAAAGGTACGCTGCGCCCCCCGCCCGTGGCTCACCGTAGGGACCAGGAGGTAGGAGAGCATCCTTTAGTGGTGCAAGGATGCAGGTCCGTCCGCACGTGTGCACTGTTGGGTTTTCTGCCAGAGAATCGCTTTTTCCCCTTCTCCTGACCCGAGGTTCCTTCCTTCACAATTCAAGGAGAAAGCCAAACAGCTCTGCGGTGCCTCATGCTGTGTGTTTTTGCCTGGGGCAAAGAGAGCGGAACAACCAAATGACAAATATTGGAGGCATATGGAGGGGAAATTAGCTTCTAATGAATGTCTGCAGCATTACATGGGAAAATGGATGGCTGAAGGGATCAGACCAAAATCCTGGGTTCCTGCACGGGAGATGGATCTCCACCGCAGGCCCGCTGCTTAATGGCTCCGAGTGAAAGCGCCTTTCAGACAGCTGAGGGAAGGGACACAAGGACTTTATTACTACATCTGTAAACTGAGGAGCAAATTCTTTTGGGTAATGCTATGCAAATTGCCATAAAAGCTACCACATTAGGCTGATGTCCCAGCGTGACAGCAGTTGCCAGCTTCCCGCAGTTGCTGCATTTTTTCGTGTTGGCAGTCGCCCTTTCCTCGGCGAGCATTTTCTGGGAGGCCAGCAGTGCCCAGCCGCAAGGCGAGTCCTCTGACCTCTCTGAGTGCAGACACAGAGCCGAGCTGGCTGCACGACTGTGCTCATGTTTTCCTGACATTGCAGCAGACGTCAGGGTGTGTGTGCAGCTTGCGAGCTGGCTGGATGAGGCCCCAAAGGGATGGGGTGCTGCTTATCCCTCCTACTGCCCCACATGTAGCCCTAGGTGGTGGTTTGGAGGCAGGAGGTGCTGTGCCAAAGCAACAACCTAATAAAATAGTTGGTTTGAAGGCAAGCAGGCAGGATGGAGGCTCTTCTTCCACGTACCTAACCGCGGAACAGGGATTGGAGAAGGTTCTGGTGGTTTGTTCGCCTTGTTAATAAATCCCCAGCTGTATCCTATCAGAGAGAAAGCGTAGGTGTTTTCAAGGATTTGGGCAGGGAGGTAATAAAGGGGATAAAAACTGCCCACAGAGGAAAGAAATCCCTCTCTGGTGATCTTGGAAACGGGTATCTGATCTGACACCTAGGTGGAACCATGGAAGGATGAAGAGAGACTGATCCTGGCCTTAAATTCCGATTTGAGAGATGCTGGGAGGAGAGGATGGCCTTTATCTTGGGTCTAAACTGTGATTATGGGATATGTTTTCTGCCCTGTGATGGCTGTCTTAGTGGAAACGTCTCTGCGATGGGCTGATTTACAGAGTCACTGGATTGCTCTGGAGGCAATGCCAAAAGAATGATGGAGAAGGAGGGAGAATTGTGACCTCTTAAGTTTTAGAACAAAACAGGTCAGCGATTTACAAGGATTTTGGTGAGATTTAATGTCTAAAAGCCATGCAGAGATTAAGTCAATAAATCATTGATTCTTGCACTTTGATTTAATGTTACAGAGGGGAGAGGAAGGTTTTTATAGATGCGCTGGTTGAGTAATGGCCTCATACCGTCACCTCGGTGCAAAACACCGCATGCTTTTTAGTAATCAGCCCAATCAGGAGCCCTGGCCACTTGAGACCCAAACCCAAGAAGCCGAGGAGAGCAGAGCTGGTTTTTGGGCAGCGTGTGCTGAGAGGCAGGCGCTGCTCCCTGGATCTGCTCCTGCCCCAGCACCCTTTCGGTCCCGTCCTGCAGGGCAGTTTTGGGGGGACAGGAGTCACGGTGGGAAGCAAGGGGACATCCCTGGCATGTGGAAAGCTCAGGGTGGGTTCCTGAGGGCTGGGTTTTCCCTCCAGCAGTGAGGTTTGTGTCCTACAAGCTGTGTAGGACGGGGCTGGCAGCCCCTAACCAGGTACCCCTGGGCAACATCCCCATGTGGCCACCAAGTCATGTCAAGCAGCGCTGGGTCGTGGTCTTGTCTGGAACCTCTCCTTGATACGGCAACACAAGCAGCTGTAATCATTTTTCACCAGCACTTTGTAATGTGATCAAAGGAGGTTTTCTTAATGCCAGCCTCCTTTAAAGCCCTTTCTTGTCTTCCTCATCTCTGCCTCCTTAACAGCATTGCTCATCTGCTGTCGCAAAGTTCAAAGCAACCAGAGCTGGGTGAATAATTTGCAGGGATTAATGTACCCGATTGATCTCCCGTTTTTTCCCCCCTGTTTTCGGTTTGTCCACAAATTGCTTTGTACTTGCCTCCAATGTATTTGCTGTTTATCTGCAAAATCATCATTTCTGAGAATGCGTCTTCGATCGTGCAGTTATTGCAAGTCATTTGGTTTGCCATCTGAGTCATGCAGCCAGCTATTAATAGGACAAGTGCTGGCTCCGTGGTTTTGGGCTCTGGCTGGGTGTGCGCAATGCTAACAGCAAAGGGTTGGGATTTCTGCACAACGATGCCTGCAATTTATGTTGCACCTGCCTCCCCACAGCGCTGTCTCTTCTGCTTTATTTCAGGCCTGGGGATGGAGAATATTGGTGGAATCTTCGTGGTTCTCATCTGTGGCTTAATCGTAGCGATTTTTATGGCAATGCTGGAATTTCTGTGGAGCCTTCGGCACTCTGAGCAGTCAGAGGTAGGACCTGAAAGTGTCCCGAGGGGGTAGAAGTGCTTATGGCATTCCTAGTGCTGAGACCTCAAACACAGGAGAGCTCTGGGTAGGGGTCTGAAGTTCAGGAACATCTCACGTACACCTGCACCCTAAGATTTGAGGCTGTAGGGATGCTCCAAGGGCTGTTGAAGGGATCAGAGGTGCACAAGACCCAGGTACTGGATCCAGGTTCCTGGAGCCTGGAACATCTGAGAATTTCTGCCTCCAACAGGTTTGGATCCCAAGCTGATTTGGAGATCCAGAAGGGTCTCCACCAAGAGGTGGAACCTCTTGGGCTAAAACAAGCACGAGGGTCCAAGTGCTGGTACCAAAACCCAGTGGCCAAACTCAAACCTGAGCCTGTAGCGTTTTGGTATCAGGATCTGGAGCAGAAGCAGGGTGGCTGGGCTTGCAGCACGGTTAGGTGAGCAGCGTGCTCTGCCTTCCAGGTGTCGGTGTGCCAAGAAATGGTGACGGAGCTGCGCAACATCATCCTCTGCAAGGACAGTTTCCACCCCCGTCGGAGGCGAGGGGGGATGGCACGGACTCGCCCCGTTATCCCCGAGGAGCGCCGAGCCCGCAGCACCACCACGCTCAGCAACGGGAAGCTGTGCAGCGGGGGAGAGCCAGACCCCCTGGCACAAAGACTGGCACAAGAAGCTGCCCTGGTCGCCCGGGGCTGCACGCACATCCGCGTCTGCCCCGAATGCCGCAGGTTTCAGGGGCTCCGGGCACGGCCGCCTCCGGGCTCGCCCGCGCAGAGCGAGGAGAGCTTGGAGTGGGAGAAGACCACCAACAGCAGCGAGCCCGAGTAAAGCCGGGGGGCAGTTGGGGGGAGCCGGGGTGGGCCGAGAGGGTCCTGTTCCATTTTACAGAACACGGACTTGTACAATGTCAAACTCGTTTTTAAATTAAAAGCAGTTACCCAGCTTCTCCAGAGCACGGCAGGCCGCCTTGGGGCTGACGCACGAGCCCGGCTGGAGGGTGGGCTTTGGAGAGGACGCGCGGCTCGCCGGACCCCGAGGCACCAGGAGCGAGCTCCTCCGGCTGGGCTGCCTCCAGCAGCCGTCCCCACGCAGCTCCCAGGTGGGAAGGAGGGGACACGGTGGGTAATTCGTGTAGCAGACATCGCCCACCCGGGGGGGCGAGAGTTCTTCTTGGAGCTTCTCCATCCCAGGCCAGCAGGAAGGCCGCTGTCTCCCCATCACACAGACTCACAGCGGGGCGTTCGCATCGGGCGGGGGGAGGGATTTTTTTCTTTGACGTGGACGAGGGATGGGAAGGGAGGAGTTGTTATTTCGTTTCGTTTCGTTTGGGGTACTCCAGGACCTAGTCTCCGAGGCACCAGGTTCCAGGTGCTAAACTTCTTCCTTTCTAGAGCGGGGCGGGCGGCCTGAGAGAGGGAGGAAGGGATGGGACGTGCTCCCTGCGAGGAACAGCACGTGCTGAAAGCCCATCCGAGGAGTTGTTAACGTACATATATATATACAAATATATATATATACATAGATATATATATATTAAAATGCCAAAAACCAACCAACCAACACAGTGAACTCAAAGAGGCCTTGAAACGCCTGGAATTTCAGGGGTTCTGTGTCTTTCGTTTAGTTCTGGGGTTATCTTCAGCTTTTTCATTTTTTTTTTTAAATTCCCTTCTGTTTTTTGGGGTGTGGGTCGGGGAGCCCTTGGAGGAGGGGGAAAAGAGAGCAGGGAACGGGGAGGGAGCACCCTTCCCACCAGCTCCCCTTGCCCGTGCCCCACACAGTGCCCGGGGCAGCTCGCTGCCCGCGTCCAGCAGCGACGGTGCCGCATGTGGTGTCAGAGAAACCCCATCGGGGTGGGATCTCGTGCGAGGACAATATTCACCTCCCTAGCAACAGCAGCAGCTCGCCCTCCGCTCGGTGCAGACGTGGGTTTCACGGCGACGAGTTGAATTTTCTGATTGAAAAAACAAATTCTATGCAATTTCTGATTGTAAAAGGGAAGAGAGGAAAATGGAGAGGGGCAGGGGAGATAAAGCCTTGAGTGAAGGTACATCCTGTTCTCGAATTGTTTTCTTTTCTTTTTGTCTTGAATGTACTGAAATAAAAGATGTCCTTGTATAATTATGCTTATTTTCCTCTTCTCCTCCCCGTCCACACTCAAAAAAGTCACGAGACGGCTTGCTTGGGGAGAGACCCAGCGGGGAGGGAGGAGGTGCTGTGGCTGTCCCCAGGTCTCTGCTGCCTGACTGCATCCACGCCCAAGGTGCTGCCGTTACCTGTACCTGAATGGGAACAGGAGACAACAGAAAAAGAGAAGCTACAGCCTTCCTAAACCAGTTAACTAGTGCTGAGGTTTAGGTGCAGCAGGTCAAACCCGTGGTGTTATCTCCTGCAGGAGCTGCTGCTTCTGAGGACGGGCAGGGAGCGATGCCCTGGTGGTGGTGGGCATGGTGGGGTTGTTAATGGTGTTGATGGTTTCCAGCAGTGCATGAAATCAGTGTCCTCCACACAACCAGCAGCAAAACGTGCACAGCAGGAAGGAGAGGATTTAGAGCTTGTTACACAGGACGTCATGTGTCATGTCCACAAAGGTCCCTTCATGCCTCCACATCCATAAATCCACGGGATGTTAGAGGATGTTCGCCCCGCTCTCCATGGCCAAGCGGAGAGGTGACGGTGTCAGCGTGAGGCTGGAGATGAGGCCAGGCTCCACCAGAGCCCGGGGGGGCACAGGGACAGGTCCCCAGCTGGGGCCAGGCAGCAAAGCCACCACCTGGAGCTCGGCGAGGAGCTGGTTTGGGCTTCCCAAGTACCGAGAGCAGCGCCAGAGATGTCTGAGAGCACGCATGTTGCTGCTAAAGGCCGACGTGTTTGTACGAGCAGCGGAATATATTCATCAAAAAGAAGCTGCTTTTTAAAATTTATTTACAGATTAGCAGAAGAAAAGGCTCCATGAATCATTTATCAGACCTGATGTTTTTTCACCCCATCACCAGAGTGAATAAAGAGGGAGCTTGACGGAGCCAGGCATTATTCCTCTGCTTCTCCAAAGATCTTGCAGTCATCTCCTCAGACAGGGGATGTCAGGAAAAAATGATGAGAAACCACCTGGTTTCTCTCCATCTTTGCTTTTTATCTCTCCTGTTAGCTTGTTCCACCTATATAGCATTTTATATCTACGTCTGGATTTTAAGGAGACTTTTTTCATGTCCCTCTCACAATCTTTTTTTTTTTTTTTCCCCTATGTTCAGAGTGTTTGCATTCAGAGCAGAAATGTGGTGGATGGATAAAAGCTGCTGTCATTTTGGGTACCTCTTCTAGTGTCTCTGGAGGGTCCTGGATTTTCAGCTCACTGGTAAAAACCTACAGGTTTCACCCTCTGGAGGGACCCCTTGCAGAGACGCCGTTCTGCACATCACCTGGGGATTGTGTTCGGGTGCATTTGCATGCCCGGGATGGGTTTACATCTCTCGTGGTCTTTCTCTCCCACTTTCTGCTCTCATCTTTGAAACTATTGTGGGGCTTCTTTTGCTCGATGCTAATGCGGTTCAAGATCTAGAGCGCTTTGCTGTCCAAAAGGCACTTTCCCAGAATGGCTGTCTCCTGATAAAACTTGAGTAATTCTAGTAAGATATCTCTGCAAATTCCACCGGGAGCCAAAGATTAGATCAATTAACATGTAATACCTTGCTTTCTCCTTTCTTACCAGTTTGCTTGATCTTCCTGCTGCCCCCCTGGCTGTTTTCCAGCCCCCATTCCCGGCTGGCCCTGCTGCACTCAGGCAGGTTCCTAACCAAAGGGATCTCTCCTCCTGCGCTAAAACCCCACATTTGTGGTTTTTGTCCAGGCAGGGCCATTTTCACCTAATGATACAAAGCTGCTTTATCCCCTGAGGTCACACGGGCAAGGGTATTAGCAAGGCTGGGGGGCACTTACTGAACCAAGTAGCACAGGCAAAATAGAAAAGTGTTTTTCTGCGTCCTGTGAGAGATGAAAGATAGGAATATTTTTAGTTATTTTAGATCCACAGAAAGCTTCCCTGCTTCTGCCATGCCAAGTCTGCTTCTCTCCTTGAACCTTAAGTGTTTCACCAGCTAAATGACCCAAAGGGCAATGGAAGAGGCAAAGAGAAGAGCTGCCGGTGGGGTTTGCTTTTTTTTTTGCTGAGCTCCTGAGTTGCAGAAAAGGTCTGGAAGACCCAGCATCATATATGAGCAGGTGGAGATAAATGTAGTGCTGGGAAGTGCAGCTGTGGGCACAGGGTGATCAGTTTTTGTGGTTCTGGGGTGATTGTCTGAACGGCAAGGATACCCTTTAGGAAAAGGAGGAGACCTGTGGGCGAGGACTCCTTGGTGCTGAGCTGGTTTCTAAGCTTAGGAAAGAGTAAAGAAGCAAAGATGGGCTGCTGCAGTGGGTGATGGTGTCACAAACTGGCTGACACGAGTGAAAGAAGTCCCCTCCATCAGCTCCTGTTTAGCTCTGAGATTAATTACCTGCAATGTATTTGTTTCTCACCTGTCCTCCACCTGTGTACATACCGAAAGTGATGAAATTTCTCCTGGTGCATAAAATATGGCTTCAACTTGAAGGAAAAGGCAGCCCTGCCCATCAGATGGAGAGCCAGCCTTTGGAGGCCAGATTGTAAACCTCGTCGGCCGGGCACGTCTCCAAAGCCAGGGAGATGCCCTGCTGCCCCACGGGCATAGAGGGAGGCAGAATCGGGCCGGAGATGTGCAAAAGGAGTTGGAAGCAACCATGGGGAAGGAACCGAGGAGCTGCAACGTGAAGGGAGGTGGCAGAGCAGTGGGGCAGCGTGCTGAAACGCCTGCTGGGCAGAGCACAAAGCACCCACGGTTCCAGCAAGCCCATTAGAGTCTGATGGCCGCTAACTGATTGAAAATACAGAGCTGGGCTCTCCTGGGTACAAAGTAGCCCTGATGAATTCGGTATAAATAGGCTCCTCGGGAACTTGATACCACACTGGGAAAATCAGCCCCGTCCCTGCCGGATCAGACAATGGGCAGGTTTATTCAGCTTCCAGGGAGTTTTTTTTTTTTTTTTTTTTTTTTTTTTTTTTTTTTTTCCTGCAAAGGGGAATCTGCCGTGCTCCAGCTGAGTTAATGGGCTGGTTTGTGGCAGGACTGCCACAGCTCCTCTCTGTAAGCAGCCCAGGAGGATCCCCTGCCCTGCCACGATCCACAGTGGCCTTGGGGCTGGCGGTGCACAGGGACGTGCAGAAGAGCAGCAGCTTTCCAAAAGCCCTGCAAAGGCCAGATCAGAACAAAATGAAGGAGGCTAGCGTAATTAACAAAGGCTTTCTCCTCTGCTATGTTTAGGTCTGCAGTTATCAATGTAGCTGGCAGTTCCCAAAGACTGAAATGACAGGAGCTGGCTGTAAAAGAGATAACTGTCAGATTAGCCAGGACATATTTCCTGCCTAGGTTTTCTATATCATGCCTATCTTGAAATATCTCCATGTATTAAAGGCGCTGCGTGGCCATTTGTGTTTAAAAAAGTACCCTTTGCAACGTGATAAACAATGTTTTATTGCAACTGAAAGACCGAACATTTCTTGTGTCTTGACTTAGGCTGCTTTGAAATATTACATTTTTCCTGCTTCAGTCACTTTGTGTGGACCAAGGCTCTTTGTTGTTCTTATTGTGGCGGCTGGATTTTCGCTTTCTCGGGTATTGAGCTTAGGGTACTGGGGAGAAAAAATGCCTGGGCATTGGTGAGGAGAAGGCAATTTAGACTCACCATGGGCAAGAGCCATGCTCTTTCAAACCTCTTATCTACCTTCTTTTTTCTTCCCCTATCTCTGCCTTCCAAGCACCTTTCTCTTTCCTATTCATCCCCCAAATGCTCCTCCTCGTGTTGCTCAGCCTCAGAAAGAAATGTCTCCGGTCGGCTTTTGCCTGAACTCCCAGGAAACGTTCATGAATGTAGTCCTCTGGCTTTTCAGGCTTAGCTCTTGCTGAGCCGAGATTTAAAGCAATTTATTTCTAAGCCAAAAGCGAATGCAAATGAGGGGAAAGAACTGGGGGAGGAAAAGAAAAAAGACCTTTTATTCCCAGGTGAGCACTAAGATGACTGATCTGTCTGCCTAAAACCGATTGTTCTTCCAGAGTCTACAGCAAATACCCCTGCGCGTTCCTGAGAGCAGCCGTAGAGGATGCTCTGATTGTTGCTTGCTGAACTAAACTGGGACAAGTAGACGAGCACACAGCCTCTGGTTTTATTCCCTGGCCATGGATCAGCCACGATGTCTTTAGCCCTCGGGCAGCCGAAATGGAGGTCATGGCATGGTAGGGAGCCAGGCATAGGAGGAGGCCACCAAATGTCTGTGCTACAAGGTCCTGCAAATCAAATCGCTCTTTTGGGAAAAAAAAAGTTTGTTTGCTGCCCATTTCAAACAGCCCTGGCACACTGCTGGCTGTGTGACCGGGCCAGGTGGATGGATATTTCTTTTTGAAGTTAAACTTAAAGCATAAAATGCTTGTACAGAGTGCCTTTGTGGAGAAAGTTGCTGGTTTAGCAGATGAAGTAGTTGCTCTGAACAAGCTATTCCATTATAATTCCCTCAAGTGGACATCGTATTTCAAGGGAGAATCATCATTCTGGAATGAAGCCCCTATTTTTAAATTTTTATTTATTTTATTTCTTTTTTTTTTTGTCCCCAAGGAGATGTTAAAAAGCAGCAGCAGGATGGCAAACCAGATGGCCAAAATGCCACCAACCCCAGCAGGTGTGACAGGTGATGCTGTCACAGCAGACAGCTCTGGAAACGGCCCTGTGCCACCCTGGGTCTCAGCTCTGCTGCATGAAACGGGGCTGATCCAAGTCCTCCTGAGCCTCACGGTGGTTACTAAGTACCCTATCGAAGAATAGAAGTGAAGGAAATGTTTTGGATTAATGCGTAGGACTGGAGGGGGTCTGGCAAGGTTTAATCTGTTCATGTTTGCAAAGGACTCTGAAAGCTTGGGATGAAAGCTGGTGGAGATTTGCCAAGTGTTTGCTAACATTAATGGTTAATTATTATGAATGCTGGCAGCCTACATGCTCAGCCAGCATCGTTCTCCAAGTGAGATCCAGACCTGTTATGGAGTTGTTATGCACACACG